TTCGATTAGAACACTGATATATAAAACTAATGTGACACAAATAATTGGAGCTGTGAAATAAAAACTTTTCTTAATTTTCGTTTAAATTCTTGGTTGAAGTCTTGTGGCTTAAGTCTATGAGCACCACTGTATCTGAGTTTCAAGCAATATTTTCTATTTAAATTCCTTGTAAAAATTGTAATTTGTAACCGAATGCTTTGAAACTTTGACAAATACTAGTCCAATATATCCGTTTTTAATACAGCTAACTACTTTTTTGAAATTCCGAAATCGGTTTTTTGCCACTTTTTGGATTTTCTGGCCCACTGTGCAAGCGGATGTTTGTTCTGCTTGAATGTTCACTCTCGATCGACGCGTTGCATTTGATATATGGATTAGACAAGTTCTCACCGATTTTACCGGAATGTAGATTAAAGGTCGGGCACACACAGAAACAATGGATATAAATAACACCCAAAGACATTAGCCATTGTGGGTAGTTTTAAAGGCCAATTTGGGGTGTGCACGGTTGCAAGAACTGAATTAATCACGATTGGTGTGGCCAAAATGGAGTTAACATTTCACTTAGTTCGATTAACTTTTTGATTTATTATTCAATTAAATGTGGCACTCAAAAAACCAAAAGGAATTAGCAAATCATTAATATGTAACATAATAAACAATGTAAGGATAATCTTCTTTGTTGCTTTATTATTTTATATCTGCTAAATCTAGGTTTACAGCTAAGCCTCCAAGTTAAATTCATCACATTTGTAAGGTTATTTAAAAACTCTTATTGTTTACCAACAGGAGATCTGAATAAAAAAACTGAAGTGGCAAATAGGTTCGCACTTTAGTTGGCTAATATTTGGACCACCCGAAATTGTGCGATTGGTTTATTGCATTTTACGGCCTCTATAATTTGTCTTCTGGCCAAAAACGTTAGTGAAGGCAAAACTGAGGCCGTGCGCCTTATTTTTTTCTCCTTTTTTTTTTTTTTTTGCTAAATCCAGCTCGGACAGCCAGCAATTTGAGCTTGACTTCTTGGACCCGGCTCGTGTAATGCCTGCTTTACAGATGTGGAGTTTATTGCTTTAGTTTATGGGCTTACATGGGCGACTTACAATTTGGACCATAAATGGCCAAAGGCGCGAGTGGTATCGTTTTGGCCATTATAATTTGGAGTCTCGACGGTCTGAGTGGCACAATAATCGGATCCGGGGGATCCAGGCAAATCAGTTAGCGTCGTGCACATTTCGCTAACCCCAGGCACCTGATGATGATGATGCGATAGCCACAAGCATTTCCAAAAACAACGGGCGAAAAATTAGAAAATGGATGGTCCAAAACGGACGGTAAATGGAAATGGCCGAGCCGATGACAAAATTAAAATTCATTCACGCTCAAGTAAATATTTACGCAATAAATTTGCATTTAATTGCATTTGAGCTAGGCATACCAGCGACGGCCACAAAACACTGGCCGAAATCAAATCAAATCAAATTAGAAAACAATCCACCAATGGTCAATGCAGCAGCACTCCAAAAACGTTCCACACCTCACATCTAACACACATTCCCTCCCCCTCCCCCCCGAAAAAACCGAACCGAGTGACCAAAACAATTCGCTCGTCGTATCGAAATCTAATCAAATTATGCGACAGAAATGTCAAAAAAGCGTGAAATGTTTGGCTCCGGGGCGAGTGAATTAACCCAAACAGGTGAGTTCTCCAATTCCAGCGTCTGGTCCACCTGGATCCCATCTCCATTATGTCTCATCCCCGGCAGAAATCGCATCAAAATTGCACAAAATAAGAAGCGCTCAACAAATCATTTGCAAATTTTATGCAAAATACATGCAAAAGTGCTTGGCAAATATGGGCCTGATCAGTATCAGTATCCGTATCTGTATCTGTATCGGTATCCGTAAATGTATCCGTATCTGTATCTGTATACTCCGTCTCTCTGATTTTGACCGCAAACATTTTTGGAGCGCTTCTCTCGAATTGAACTAGAATTTCCGTGGGTGATGATGAGGGGGCCCCAAAAACAGCGACTGTGACTGCGGCTAAAATGTTTTTATGCGGTTCGCTTAATGTGTTTTGGCCATAAACCAACTGACAACTGGCCGAAAACAGCTAAAAACCCGCGGGTTCAAATGTGCGAATTTTGGGAGAGTGTGGCATCCACAAATGACAACGATAACAAGTCGAATGCCTCGAGGGGTCAGTGAGCAAAATCTCCATCCATCGCCACTCTCCTCCTATCAGAAATCATTCTCAAACTTTTGTTGCCTGCGTTTATTTGTTTTCGCGGTCGCCTAATTGCATTTTCGACATTCTGCCGCACTCCCCTCTGTTTATATTGTAATTGAAAACGCATTGTGGGAGTGGCGTTGGCCATGACAAGTTTATTTAGGAGAGGCACTTCCTCCTGCTTCTTGCATTTCTGTCCACATCGCGTGATTTTTTGCCGTCAAAAATACGGTTGAAAAACTAACAATTATATTAGCCACCCTGGGAAACTTTTTGCATTGAGCAATGTTCAAAAAAAGAAGTTCGATTGTAGAGCGTCGGTAAGCATAAAAGCTGCAAGACACGTCTCGTTTTTGTCATAACTTTGACTTTGTAACGACTCCTTAATTATACCAGTACACGAAACTTGAAAAAACTGTTCTCAAAGATGAAAAGTTCAAATGGTTTCTCAAACATAAATAATTAAAAATTACAGACTGAAGAAAAATTTGGTTTTTTAAAGTCAACCTTTAAATGCCTTTTGCAAGAAGTCATAAATGTAATGGAGAGTTGTTGTTTCAAAAAACATACCTTTCCAAATCGATAAACCTAATCCTAATTTTAAACAGCCTCTTGCTTTTATTGGAAGATTGCCAATTCCATTTGCGACTTGATTCCACGGCAAATCCCAAAGCCGAATCGAGAAAATTATTAGCCATGTGCGAGAGTCAAGTAAAGCATTTTTCAAAGGATTTATACAACAGCCGGAAGTTGGAAAACAGATCTAATAAGCCCCAGCTTCGAAGGGGGACACAAAGACAACTGCCGGGGACAACAGCATAAATCTGACACGTTGCCCCAAAATTAATTCCATACGAGCCACTTGGGAGCGACTCTCGGCTGGAAATTGGCCACAGCCAGATGGCAGATGAGCCATCGCAAAACATTTTAGTGCCCCGCAGGCGGGATGCGAGCACACAGACAACTTATATTAATTAATGCAGAATTGCATTACGCATACGCACAGGTGCACGGAGTAGAGACCGCCTGGCCAACACATGAAAAAGAGTCGTAAAATGAAAACTCTGTCAGCCAATAAAGAAAACAACAAACTGGCAAGCGAACCGAGCTATGAAATACTGAGAGATCAAATAAAGGCAGCAATATCCAGTTATTTTTGGTTCAGGGATGGGCAAGTTAAAAGGTATCGATATAAAAATCCCTATTTTATTTATTTTTATTACCTACTTCGACATTTCTAGTAATTTTCTATAGATATATAATATTTTTTTTTTTATAATTTATAACTTCAACGTTGGCAAGGTAAACACTATACGTACAACATAATACAATTACCAAGATAATGGAAACACAGTGGGCACTCTGCTCCCCATCTTTGGTACCACACATGCAACAACAAGACCTTTCTTGCATCTAAGTTGCCACTTAAGCCTGGCCCGCTCTCCAATGCAAATTATCTGCCCCACAGCTCTGATTTGGCTCGAACTTTCGGACACTTATTGTGGCACTGCCGACCGACTGTCGACCGTCGACCGTCGATGTCGTGGAGCCCGTCTCCCATAGTCTGCAGATTGCTGGTAGGCATGGCAACTTGCAACACATGCCACCACACAGGACACGAAAACCCGGCAAGGCAAGGCAAGGCGAAGTGAAACCAAACCAAGCAGGCCAGGAATGGCGAAACGAGCAAATCACACAATTACTTATGTTCTGCAGTGATTGGTCACATGGCACGGCTTAAACGAGACTAACCTAATATTAATTCCCCCCAAATAATAACACATTTTGATGAGTTTAAACAGACTTCTGTTCCTTTCCAAATGCAATCCTTCGGCATAATTAATTTGAATTTAATTCACATTTCATATTTGGTAGTTTTTGGATCTACTATAAGTTCGTTGTTGGAAATGGCGAAATTATAATATTAATTTATTCAAATGTGCTCTCATTTAAAGTTTAATGTATTTTAGCATCTTAAAACGGTTTCAAATTTGATTTAGCCACGATATAGCGAAGTAATCTAGTGAACTTGTTGGGCAAAATCTAGTTGTTCCTTTTTCAGCAACATCGTTTTAAGACTTTTTTAATTTAACTACCGATGGAAGTAATAAAAAATACACTTTAAATCAGTGTGTGACTATAATAGCTATTTTTAAATACATTTCAAATTATTTTTATTTGGTGCCTAGCACTAAACTTCTTTTAGGCAGGTTCCCTGGCTTAATAAATAACTTAAAAGATACGCTTTTAATATCCCCTTTTGAACTATGTTATAATTTGGAAATACTGCAGAAAACAAGTGGGCGCATCACTGGCTTCTTTCTTTCCACTGTCGCTTGGAATAGTGTCTCCTCCAACGGAGGCTTTTTACGACTCCGCCGAATGCCACGGCTCACTAAGCACGGCCAACAGAAGTGGAGAGTGTGGCCAACAATGCACACGATAAACATACTGTTGTTGGCCATTGGCAGTGGGGAAAGATGCAAGGAAAATTTGTTTGAAAATTTACCTAATGCGATTTTATAATAGTTTTTCTTTTACGGTTATGACAGCACCACTTGGTTTCTGTGGTTAGGCTTCGTTGGGTCTGGGTTTCTACTCGAAGCGAAGTCGCTTAATTGTGAGGTTTGCATCGATTGCACAATATCGACTCAATGGAATGGAGCTAATGTCTTTAATATTATAAATTTAAGCCATTTAGGGTGTGATCGAAAACATATCTCTATTCCTAATACAATACAATTCCCACAATTAAGGGGAAACGGACTTTTACTATTCAAATATATATTTTTATACCATACAAAGATGTTGTTGTATAAATAAGGTTTGAGTTTCAGACAGATCTCATTGTCTGTCTGAAAAATACCAGTGAATTTCTGTGATATCTTGTCAAAATACACCTTTCTGTGAAATCTACGCTCGCTGCGAGTTCTCCTCCCCGACCCTTAATAATCGGTGGTTCCTGTGGCCTTCATATGTGCCCCTCAGTACCACTTGAAAGTCCAGTGTTCCAGTAATTGCATTTTAGGGTGTAGCCGGCGGCGAATCCTCGATGGAACGCAGCCAAGCGCAGTTGATGATCTCGCGCAGATTCCAGCGGGCATTGGCGTCCGGCTCCAGGAGCACCGAAACCGTTGCCTTCGCCTGGGCCGAGATCGAATCCTGCAGCTTCCGGCGGAAGGCGAACTTGCGGTTGCGCTGGTCCTCCAGCAGTTTGGCCAGGTTGCTGTCATCGAACGGCATCTTGGCATTCATCATGATGAATAGTATGACGCCCAGGGACCAGGCATCCGCCAGCTTCGGGTCATAGGGTCGTCCGCAGACCACTTCCGGTGCGGCATAGGCCGCCGATCCGCAGTACGTCTCCGATTTCATCTCACGTCCACTATCATCGCGACAATAGCGAGCGAATCCAAAGTCGGCCAGCTTGATGTTGAGCCTCTTGGAGAGCAGAATGTTCTCGCACTTGAGATCCCGATGGGCAATATCTAGGCTGTGCAGATACTTCAGCGCCTTGGCCATCTGCAGGAACCAGATCCTCGCCTGCTTCTCTTCGATGGGACCCGTTTTCTTGATGTGCGACAACAAATCTCCGTTCTCCGCATAGCGCATAAAGATGAAAATCTTGGGGCCACGCTGCAGAATGCTGTGGATCTGTATAATGTTGGAATGATCGATCTTGGTCAGGATCTCCAGTTCGCGCGGAAAGAACTTATTGACGAAATCGGTGGGCGCCTTAGCCTTGTCAATTATTTTGCAAGCCAAGTTAACACCAGTTCCGGTATCGTCGGAATATCCGGCAGTTATAACCGTGGCATACGATCCCTCGCCGATCTTGTGACCCACATTGTAGCCCCGCTGAGCCAGTGCATCCACATCCGAGCTGCGCGTGCTCAACTGGCGACTCCCAGAGCTGGAGTTGAATTTGGACATGGTTATCGAGTCCTCGGCGAACGTGTAATTTTTACTTCAAAGTGTTTCCAACTAATCAAATCGATGGTGTGGCATTAGCGAATGGTTGTCTTTTGTGCAGGAAAAACATATTTACCCTTAAGTTGGATGATTTCACAAACTATAATTTATGGCCACGTTGTGTGTTTATCTTACTAAATTGAATTCCAGAAATTTTGACATAAGCCTACAAACGTTATGAAGATTGAAAGAAATATAAAAAATGTATGCAAAACCTTCTACGATTTGTGTTGAACTGAATTTTACCTAAAGGAACACGAACTACTAAGACCCTCATGTAAAATTATTTATTTTTACGACTGCTGAGTTTGACTGAAACTTTGAAGAAATAACTAACTAACAAAATAACTTAACTTAAAACCATGGATGTTAGTAATTAAACTATAAACAAAATGACTAAAATATTTTCCAATCTTAAATCTTTTATCCGTGCAATTTTTTTTTGTTGTAAATAAACATATAATTTATTTGCATTCTGAAATTCAAAACCCAAAAGAAATTCTAAAAAGAAAATTTTATTTCGCTATTTACCAACAACTAAAATATTCATAATTTTCTTTTTCAGTTTCTAGCCTGCTGCCTTTTAGCCATGCAACAGGAACTGCAACCCAAACCGCTCAAATCAACAGGAATCCCCGTGGCAGCCAGAACAGCAGTGACTCGGAGCTGAGTGCCTCGGAGCGGAGTCGACGCCTAATACCCTACATGGCCTTCTATCTGCCCGCCCCCGAGTTGCCCATCAATCAGCAATATGCAACCAAGCACTCGTCGTCGGCTGGCGGGGCACAGCTGCAGGCACCGCCGCCAGGACCCGGAAGGATACCCGTGCCGGTGGCCTACATGCCGCAGCAGAAGCATCCTCATCCCCATCACCATGGACCACCTCATCCGCCGCCAGGGCAGCACTATCAGTCCGGAGCAGCCGAGGTGTACCACTCCCTGGTGATTGGAGGCAACCAGCACCAGCTTCCTCATGGGCTCCCTCATCCGCCACCTGGTCATGTCAAGGAGCAGGCGGCGATATCCGATTCGGGTGCCACATACATCGCCTACAAGCCATTGAACCCAACGCACAAGGCAAGTTAAGAGTACATGTTATTATAATAATATTATTATTATTCCGAAAAATGGCTATCCATTTTTCGGTCAATGGTTTTGCTGAAGCCATAACTTTCCTAATTTTTATCCGATTTATGAGAGGTATACTTTGTTGAATTTGTTATACAAATACCTAATAAACTGCATCATTAGTTTACTTTAGATTATTTCCAAATTTACAATAAATTGTTTAAAATTATAATACCCTCTGCAAGGATATAAAAAGACATCTAAAAACGGTCCATTTTGACTTAAATGTACGCAGTTTAATAATACCAACAAGGAAGTGATTTATAGGAATGGATTAAAAATTTAACTAGAAAACCAATCATTTTCGCAATTCGCTCTTTTGACCCCAACAATAACCCTTGGGTTATGCACGATAGGGGTTCGCCAAGTGTATTTGCATATTTTTGCCATTCCTCTTCATTACAATTGATTTCATAGATCATAAATAAGCATGAACAATCAAGTAATTCATAATTTATACGCACGCAGCACAAGACGGTGCAGCATTTTCCGCCGCTGCCGCCGTCGCCAAAGGAGCAACTGCAGCATGCACAGCATCCCCAGCAACCACAACAACAACAGCAGCAGCAGCAACAGCAACAGCACCACCTCCTGCTGCACCACCAACAGCAGCAACCACAGCAATTCGAGATACTATCACCGGCTTTGGTTGCACCCCCGTCGCAGCGGCAGCGAGGCAAACAATCAAAAATCAATTTAACGCCATTTACAGCGCAGAACACATTGCCGGGACAGTTTATACCCATTATTTATACGCCAGTGAGCAGCAAGCCGGGCTCCTCGAATGCCATCAATTACAACAACATCCAGGGTAACCTGAAGCAGCCAGAAAGTGTCTATAAAAATTCCCATCAAGCACAAATCGTTACGGATTATGCAGCCGGAGTTGTTGCCTCAGGCGAACAGCCTTTATCTTCCAGCGAGGATGAGGAAAAGAGGGGGAAAAACAAGAGGAGCCACGGCATCAGCAGGAGGATCATGGAGCCCAAGAGGAGGCGGAGGAGGTGCAGCATCAGCAGCACCAGCAAGTGCAAAACAATCCAAGGTAAGACTTACTATCACAGGGTGAGTATCTTGCACCCGTAAAAAAAAACCCTCTTGTGCGAAAGCTCAAATGTGAGTCAAGCTCCGATCTCATGGAAAACCAACATCATCCGCTTGATAGGCGATTCCCACAGCCACGCCCACTTTTATATCGTGAGGTGATCCGACTGCAGTTGCCATATTGCATGTAGAATACAAATTAAAAGTGTTGCCACTGCTGCTGCCTCAAAACCAGATTCATGTCATTCGAAAACAAGTTCACATTAACCAACGAAAGATATTCTCATCGTACATTTTACAGCAACTTTATTGGCCAAGCCAAATTAGTTTTTAATTACGCTCAACTTTGATTGGAAGACAGTAATTATTCTTTTATACTCAATTAATGGCACAGAGCAACAGAGACCTTCCCCAAAAAATAGGCCTACTTGATTACTTCAATTTTAGTGCTTGGTAAAACAGGGAAACCAAATATTGCGGTTTAAACCACATGCTTGAATCGAATCTGAATCTGAGATGCAAATGGATACGGTTGCATGCGATGCCCTTGGGCAGAAAAATCAATTGCATTTAACACACCGGACCCAGTCCACTCTACTCCAATCTCCAATCTCCGGCTCCGTCCGCTGTTCTCCATCCATCTGTGAATCTGGCGGCTCTTGCACTTCGTCACCATCTTCGCAACTGCAGTGGTGATGACGTAAGATCCATGACGACAGCGATTGCAAACCCAATTGCAGTTCGATGTTCAGCAGGCGGCACTGCCAGTGGGCAAAAGTGGACTGAGAGTCGACCTGGCCAGTGTCTCGTGTACATCTCCGCATGCTCTTGTAGTAATTGTCAAATTGCAAATTCATGTCATAAATAGCCAGCGGGCTCAGGTCAAAAATCTGTCGTACAATCGTTATCTGCCGAGGGAGGGGGAACGGAAAAACATGCCAATCAGCGGAGGTTTTTACAACAACCATTCCACTATATATCGATGTTCACACTCGGTTTCGAGTTAAATTGTTTCTGTACTTAATTAGTAAAAAGAAACATAGATAAATATTTATTAAACTAATGAGTATAAGAAAAAAGTACACATTTTCAAGTAGAAAATGTTATGTTTAGTTATAGTTGCGTAGTAAATTGAAATCATAGACCATTACTGATACATCCTTGCTTACAACTGAACCCATAAACGCTTTGCATGATAACCCACCCACAGCATTGGCTACGTTTCCGTATCGGTTCCCGAGCCGAGCGCAGTTACCGCCACTACATCCTCCAAAAACGCATTGATAATTCATCAAAAATCGCCGTCATTCGGGCATGTGAGCAAATACGAAAGCTACTTCAACATGGCCCCGCCCTCGACCAGCAGTGGCCATCATCCGCATCAGCAACATCCGCATATGACGCCCCAGGAGAAGTATGTGCTTTACTTACAACAGCGCATGAAGCACCAAAAGCATCAGCATCTGCAACAGCAGCAGAGTTACGACTTTCCACATCCGGTGGTGCCGGCACAAAGCAACGCACTTGCCACTGCCAGCCACCGTCCACAACACACCCATCTGCATCCCCATCAGCCGACCCACCATCACCCCCAGTCAAAGACCCATCTCCCGAACAAGTACGACGCCCTGTACGTAAGACCGGATGCCACTGCTGGCCCACAGGTGCTGCACATCCCGCTGCGCGCCCTCATGGCCCACGTCCAAGAGCAGTCGCACTCCCAGTCGCAGTTGCAGGCGGAGTCGCAGGCCCAGCCGCCAAGGCAAGAGTTCGCCAAGGATGAGCCGCTTGGGTAAGTCATCGGTTTGACCGTTGGAAAAAATGATAAGACAGATCTAAAGTTATTTATTATACTTCTGGGTAACCAACTTATTATTATTCATATTCACAAAACAAATACACATTTCTCAATCAATAACCACTTAGCAATACCTACTTAGTCATCAAATAGTATCTCCCCCTTTAACCGTTGCTTTGCATTCATGAATTGATTTATTAAAGCTCTCTTATAATCAGATAACTTCCCTAGTTCCCCAGCACCGCCGCAGTATATTGATTATCTGATAGACGGACCGAGGCAATCACTGGATGAGGAGCAGCAGCACTCGCAGCATGAACGACCCTCGGCGCATCAGCCGCCGCAGCATGCTTACATCCTGGTGACCACAACAGCACCGCATATCGAACACCAGCCTGCGCCACAATTGCATCCTGAAATTTCCACACCGCGTCCGCCGATTCTGTACAACCAGCAGCCCACACTTCGATTGCAGCCAGTGCACAATTACAAGGCAACCAGGCGTCCCATTTACGTGACCACGCCCTCGCCAGCGGGTCCGGCCACTCCAAGTCACACGGTAGAGATTACGCCGAAATATGTTTACGTGTCCGGAAAGCCGCCAAGTGCCCCGAAACCAGAGTTACCAAATAGGGAACCATCCACGGTAACGCCAATAAAACTAAAGCCAGTTTACAAATACGCCCATGAGCGCCCGCCATTAACGCCTGCTTATATACCAGAGGATCAGGATCAGCTACCCGATATACGCACCTCATCGCTCGCCGAAATTCTTCATAAGCTTCAGGCCAGCAATCATCTTCCACAAACTCTAACACCCGATAATATCGACAATTCCATCAAAACATTGATTCGCATTCTTCAGAACCTAAAGCAAACCCAAACCATTGTGGCTAATCCTCCGCAGCATCACGAGGAGCACAAGCCCAGTTCGCAGGACTACGATTATAACGAGGAGGAGCACCACTCCCCATCCGCAGGATCAGAGGAGGCTAACGAGGCGGTTGCCAAACTTAAGGGACCAAGTGGGTAGTTTTTCTTTTAATTTGTAAGCTTTATAATATGAAAACCTATTTAGACAAACATCCAGGACCAAGTACAGGAAGACCTGGCATCGATTATCCGAACTATGCGGAGATTCCCCAAACAAGTTTCGAGTGCACCAAACAACGTTACAAGGGTTTCTTTGGCGACCCAGAGACCAACTGCCAAGTTTGGCATTACTGCGATCTCAATGGAGGAAAGGCCTCGTTTTTGTGTCCCAATGGAACCATATTTAGTCAGGTAAATGATAATCGTTTAAATGTTTAAGTAAGAGAGAGCTGATAAAGTTTAAATTATTTATTTTTAGATTGCTTTGACTTGCGACTGGTGGTTCAATGTTAAATGTTCGACAACCGCTCAACTTTATGTGCTAAACGAGCGCCTTTACAAGTATATTCTGCCTTTTAATCCCAAGTTTCCCGAGGATTACAATGGACCCATAGTGGATAAGTAAGAAATTAAAATAACTTAAGACACACTTAATAACTTTTTGTGTTTTTAAAAGATACCTGGCCATGAAGTTCCAGGAAATGGAGGAAAAGATGCGCCAAGAAAAGCAACGTAAGGCAACTCAGCAGGCGGAGAAACCCGCTGAAGCTTCATCCACTCCAGCGCTTCCCAAAAATCACAAGCCAGAAGCCAAACATGGTAGTGGAATAAACGCGCAGGTGTATGAGCAGAGCTCGGAGAGAAATCTGCTCATCGACGATGAGATTGATGACATATCGGAGCGAGGAACCTACGATACATACGATCAAACAGCACCCACAACTGTAATGGCACCCACAAGCACCCAGGACACTCAATCCTATGTCCTCAAACCCATTGTCGTATCCTCCACTCCACCACCAAATCAAGAAATTGATTTCGAAGTGGAACCAACAGCTCCCGAGAGCAGCGAAGAAGAGGATAAGCTCCAGAGTTTGAGGGAAACGAAGGAAGCTGAGAAAAAGCGCGGGAAACCACAAAAGTGAGCGTGGAAAAACTGGAGGTGATTGAGATTAAAACGGATGGAAATACTGGACAACTGATGCCCATCAAGGATAGTAGCAAATGAGCATTTTGTGCAAAGGATAAAGAGTTTGCCATATTTGTAATGAAAAATTCGCCTGCGAGTTGGTTGTATAATCCCTAAATTATTCTTAGCGAGCAAGTACTGTAAATAGCTAGCTGTAAACGCAACTGTATACATACCTATAGCTATAGTGAAATAAAATCTGACTAGTAAGTAAAAAAATACAGTTGCACTTACCTCCTTGCCATTTTGGATATTGAGAAGAGTGGAGTTTAATGAATTCAATGAGACTGGAATCTCGGAAGCATAGCGTTGGTTCTATGGGGAAAAAGAAAAAGAATTTTTTAATATGCATGAAAAAGGATGATTTTTACAATAAGTTTACTGACAATCTCTGCCAACTGACGAATGTGGTGTCCACGATGCTGAAGGGAAGTGCATATTTGGCAGCTGGTTCGCTTGCAATTTAAGCAGTATAGATTTCTCGGCATTAGGTGGTAATTGCAGTCGTTGGAAGGCAGCGTAAAGAAATCCTTGCCCACACGTAATCCTTTGCTGGATTGCGTCTGCTCCTCGACTGGAGTTTTCTGGAAGATGTGCGACTTCAAGACGCGACTGTGATTGTGAACAGCTTCGAAACAACGGCGACAATAGAATGCATTGCACTGTCGACATTCTCCTGTGGCAACTGCATTTCCGCATTCGCTGCATTTGGTGGACTGGACAATCACCTCGCTTCCCGAGCTGAGGGACAATGAATTGTTTGATGTTTCCGAGGCAAAACGGCGATAGTAGGTAAGACTGCTGGCTTCTCCCAAAACATGAAAATTGAGTTCATAATAATCGCGCACATTAACGGCAAATTGGCTGGATGGATCCTTGACCTTAATCGTTGGAGGAGCTGGAGTCTGACACTCAGCGCACTTTAGATCCTTTCGATTTTTCCAGGCACAGCTCTCACAGAGATTGTGACCACATGGCAGTAAAATGGGACGAAAGCTCTCTAAATTTAGAATATGAAGGAATTATACACAATTGTTTTTAATAACAGAAAGTTTTAAAGACAACAAAAAATTATATTATTAACTTTCTTGTATTTCTATCTTTTTTGTTAATGTTCTCAGTGTACAAATAGTGTTTACATAAATATGAAAGCAAAGGTTACACAAGGTTCCGTTGTTTGGAAGAACATATGTATGAAAGAAAACAACAGCAACAGTCGTATAGAAAAAAAGAAAACCATTTATTGAATGATATGAAAAGTGTGCTTTTGTAAAGCTTGCAAAATAAACAAGCAAGTTTAAGTACCATGATTTGCTTTAAATCGGTTTTCACAAATTATTTATTTTTTGGCTTTTGACTTTTTACAGACCACACTTGTCGAAATTTCAAGCTGGCAACACTGTTGCCTTATTAATGGACGCATGGAAGCAAAGGCTTTAAAGGTTTCTGTAACCTTCATATATTTATTCATTACAATATAATAGGAGATACTTTTACTTTATTGTGTTAAGAACTAACCACTTACCTTCATTCTTACTCCTATTGTATAAAAAAGTATAAGATTTTGCACATTTTGGACAGCGCAAAAGACTCTGCAAGTTTGACGCCACAAATTTACGATCAAAATGCTTTACACCGCTCTTATTAGAATTCATTGCGATCTTCAACAAACACAAGCTAAAGACTATTACTATATTTAATTCGTTTTACTATTTAACTGAAGGATATTTAGGCATCTCAATAAAATAGTCACAGAACTTTTTGTTAAGCACGCCGCCGAATAAGGAGAAAGTGATAGAGGTGGCAAATCAAACTACTACTACTACTATCGAAAGAGTGCCAAAAAGCTGCAGTTGGAAATATCGATATAACAATATAAAAGGATCTTCCGCCTCTATGACCAAAATCCCAGTAATTTTAGGTGTTGCCAGTTAAATTTTTGTTAGGTACTTTTTTTAATATGATTAAGTTTAAATGTGTACTTACTTTACTTTTACTTTTATTATAAAAAATCTTTGCTCATATTTGCCCCAATAACGCCTTTATTCCACCAAACACTACAAATTTTCCCCATCCCGTTTTACAAAAATGATATTTATAATTATCCGAACATTGAATCCATAAGGGTATTCTCGCGCTCTCTTCGGTTAGCTTCATCCTGTCTGAACCTGCGCAGCTCCTCGTAAACCGGGTCGTCAGTTTCTAATTCAAAACGGCACATTGGGCAGGAATTGGCCTAAATGTTAAAAACAGATGCATTATAAACAAATACTTTAATATTAAAAATAATTATATTCACATATGGTTCTTTATTATAAATCAAAACTAATGTTAAGCCCCTGGTTGGCATACCTTCTTGAGCCAAAGCAGAATGCACTCCTCATGGAACTCGTGCTTGCACGGCAGGATCTTATACTTTTCTCCGGCTTGAGCAGGTTCCTTGCAAACGGAGCACTCCAACTCGCCTCCTACTTCCGACTCGAGGATTTCGTGAAGCGGAAGCTCTGCAATCGCTCGCTTGGAGGCTTCTGGAACTTCGATTTCCATATCGATGCCGTTCATTATGGCCAACACCTGAAGGCGTCGGTAGTTTCTTTCAAAGTCATTGGCTCCTTCCGGTCCTGTGGGTTCGTGGCCCAGTTCCTCGAAGTAGTCCGACATGGCTGCAAGTGTCGTAGCAAAGATTCGAAGTTGATAGCTTGATAATTATGGCATTCGATTCTAGATCTAAGAAATTTGTACAATATTTTTCGTTTTTACGATCATAAAAACTTCAAAATTGCCTTTAAAACTAACTTGATAATTAAAATCACTTTCTCTTACTTACAACATTCCTACTCCAAAAATATTCAAGACCATTTGATTAGGAGCCAAATGTGATTTTATTTCAAATTCGAGTTTCTCGTATACAATTGATAACAGTCAATCTGGGCTAGGACTCCATTCGATTAACTTTATTGTACCAACGTTATGACTAAGTATCTAAGAGGTCTTTGCATTAAAAACGCTTGCAAGTATTGTGTTTCTTTCTAAGACTAAAGTTTCTTATTAAATGGCTGGTAGTCCAGCAATGCATTTTAAAAAGTCTAAAATTACAGGCATAAACTGGCTTCTTTTACGTGAGCTTAGGTGAAGTATCCATTCGGTCGATGGATTACTGTACCAGTCGGGAGGAGTTTGTAGTGCTTCCTAAGAATGCTTTATTTGAGGAAAATTTGTATCATTTTTAGTATTAGTTTTAAGATGAAAAGTCAAAATTTCAAATTGTTTAAAATCGATAAAATTCAATTCAAAATTTTAATAAAAAAAAATGGAAACGTGTTTAACTGTTTCCCATCCGAATATGTTTCCCCAAATTCAAAACCAAATGAAACATGTCCAACGTAATTATTAGCCAATAAAAACTCAAAAATGTATTCCTTTTTTCGTTTCATATTTTTTTTATGATTTTCTTTCTTTTACTTTATGATGTTTAATAATATTCATTGTTTTAAAGTAATTGATTTACGATTTACTTCAAGGTAGTTACAGAGCTCCTGTTCTCTCTTATTATCTTCCTCTGGCCTCACTTAAAGTTTAAATCCTTTGCGATCTTATCCAAAAAACTCATACAGTAGGTATACAGAGTAGAGTGGTAAATTAAAATAAGGTAAAATATAAAATACAGTAAAACAAAAACAAAACTTAGGCGCTAGGCTTTACAAATTAGTAGTTTAGATTGCTAGAGAATAAATTAGAGGCGCCTGGCTGGGTAGCGATTGTTGTAAATGATATAGATAGAGGCAGGACTACATCAGGATCTACTGATTTCAGTGGGCTAATTAAAAACAAGAGCTATATATAGATATATACGTGTGGTGTATGTACAGAGCTACTTAAGGACGAACGAAACGAAAACGAATAAGTACACGATTCTTCAATTACTTTAGCTACTTTAGCAGGGCGGGGAAAAAAGGGCGGGAAATAGTGGGACTGGGGCGGGGCACATGGAGTAATTACAATGCGCATAGGATTTACATAGTAGGTAAGGCATATATAAAACGCTTGGGCGGGTCGACTCTTCTTGCAAGATAAATAAATTAAAAAATGGTATGAAAAACGAGAATTCCAAATTTTCGGGGCCTAAAACTTAGAGAACGATTGAATAGACCGTAAGTTTTAACACTCCACCTTTGTCAGCCAAAATCGACCCTCCCCATTAAACATTTATATGTGTGTATAGATAGTTTCTCTATATAGTAAACGATCGGCTCGCGTTAAGATCTATCACTAGCATATACAGTTAGTTCTAGTCTAGTGCTAAAAGCAGCAAACGGCAACGGCACTCCAGTTGGGGAATCCAGATCCCGAACCCTTCTGGCCTTACGTATCATCAGACTGGCTTGGTTTTTTTATTTTTGTTTCAGGGATGGTGCTTGGGATGCTCTTGTGATGGGTTTTGTTGGCTATGATCCGTGCTCCTCATCCGCGGCAGATCACTAGTCCGTGATGGAGATCTGCGCATAGCCCACAAGCGATCGTTCATCGGGCACTTCGCCCGGCTGAACGCCGGAGCTCAGTTGGAAAGTAATCGTTTTCATCGTGGCACTGGCAGCTATCAGTTGGTCCAAGTGCTGGGCCATCGGTTGGGTGTCCAGGGCATCGACGAGGCCGGCATCCACCAGTTCCGTGGCAATGCCCTCGGCTGTATCCTTGCCCACCACGAACTCGAAGCGAATGTCGTGCAGTTCGCGTCGCAAGTTGCGCATGCGCAGGACAAGATTGACGGGTGGTGCCTCGCCAGCGGCTTCGCTGGGTAATGGTAGTTGAGCCAGGCCAGCTGTTACCTCTTGGGTGGCAGCTGCGCCAGCTGGAGCCGCAGGCGTCACTGTGGCCGAGGAAACGCTATGCGTTACTTCCGGAGACGGTTCTTCCCTGTCGCTGTCCGAGGAATCGGCTCGCTCCAATCGATTCATGGGTCTGTCTTCGGAGTCGGAGTCCGAAGAGGGATGTTTCCTGCCACCTCCCGAACCGGAACCGGAGGCAGAGCCTCCGTTGTCCTCCTCCTCGCTGGACCAAACCCATTCACCGGTAACCGTGCGATGCAAACGACCCGAAGCACCTGGCTGTCTTTTCGCGGCCTTGTGCACCCTGGTCTCCATGCTGGGACCGGATTGCAGCAACGTCTGGGTGAGATACTTGCGATCCTTGGCCTTCTTGAAGAAGGCGTGCTTCAGCAGCTCACTGGCCGTCGGCCTTTTCGATGGCTCCTTTTGCAAGCACTCGACGATCATCTTGCGGAATGTCTTGCCATAGGCCTTGTACTGATCCTTGTCATCCGCACCTGTGTCCAAGGTGGGCGGATCGTTCTGCAGGGTCAGCATTAGCACCTTCATGGGTGGGTATTTGTGATAGGGAGCCGTACCCGTGGCCATTTCAATGGCTGTTATTCCAAAGGACCAAATGTCCGCCTTGAAGTCGTAACCATGATCCTGCTCCATCACCTCGGGCGCCATCCAACAGGGTGTGCCCACAAAGGTGTGGCGCACCTTTTGCCTGGACAAATCCCTGCCGGTGGCCAGCCAAGCACTCACACCGAAATCAGCTATTTGGATGGTGCCATCGTCGCCAATCAGAATATTTCCCGCCTTGATATCTCGGTGAATCTGTCCATTGGAGTGGAAGTACTCCAGACCCTTGAGGACCTCCTTGAGTACCGTGGCAATGGTGGCTTCATCGAACACGCCCTGTTTGCAGTTGGCCGTCCTCATTTTGTGCTTGATTATGTCCAGTAGAGAACCACCTTCCAGGAGTCTCAGGACCAACCAGAGCTCTTCCCTCACCACAAACGAGGTGTGATAGGTGACCACGTTCTCATGGAAACACGAGGACATGGCCTGAATCTCCTTGAGCAGCTCGTCCATCGACGTGTTCCACTTCTCCAGGTTGATGCGCTTAATGGCGCACTTCTCGTTCCTTGGAATACAGTAGGCGCCATGTACAACGGCTGTGGCTCCCACGCCAATCACGTCCCTCAGCTCGTAATCGTCCTTGGAGTTGGGCCATGGCTGTTTCTCTGGCGGTGCCGCAGCTCCTGGTAGGGTTGCTGCTCCAGCCACGTTGTTGCTGGAGAGATTGGCGGGTATGGAGGTCATGCTCCTGCTTCCTTTTCCGTTTCCAGCGGCTGTTGTGTGTGGTGGCGGGGTACCTGGACGTCGTCGGTTGTTTATCGCCGGCTGACTTTGCGATCTGGGTGTGCTTCGCGGACGAGGCTGCTTTGATATTGGTGGGGTTTTCTGGGGATCCTCCTTTTTAATCGGATGGAACTCCTCGTCCTGTTGGCGATACACGGATGGATGCTCGTTCTCGGTTTCCCTCTGTTGCTCTTGCTCCTTTTGCTGCACTTTATAGCTGCCCGAATTGGAACTCTGTCTGGGTTCTTCTGACTGACTTTTTGTGGGGTTATTCAGCTGCTCTTCCTTCTTGGCAAAGCAACCAAAGATTCCTGTATCCTTCGGATCTCTTTCGTGGGATTCTTTGCTTTGGTTCTGGTTGTTGTTGTTGGCGATGTGTGCCACCTCTGCAAGTGGAGAAAAAAATAAGAAAGGGGTAAAGTAGGGGCCTTGCCTTGGTTTATCTTTAAGAAAAAACAACAGAACTACGGGGGAGGGGATGAACGAGCTACTCAAGGTAGAATCAAGGAGTTCTGAAGGAGTTCTAGTTGTAAAGTTATGGGAAATACGAAGGAAACCAAATCCCAAATGCAAGGTGTGGAAAAGGATTGAAGATGTATCCAAAATGAGTTAGTAACAACTTTATACAAAATTTATAATTATTGATATTTGTGATATTGCTGATCAGAGATTTTTAGTATGTATTCATTTTCTTAAGACCCTAAAAACTTATTATACACATTTTTTTAGAGAGTAAAATTTGAAATGCTAAATAATCGAATAACTTTGAAATGTTTCTGATAAATTTGGGTCAAATTATCATAAACGAAAAAAAAAAACAAAATCTGATTATTTTATTGTTGTGAGGGGACACGTTTTGGCATAAAAAAAACAACAACCGTTTAACGCTCGACACATGCCGTACTCAATATTGTATTTATTTACACTTCTCTCCCTCACCCACCGCTTTATGCTAAATTTTTCCACGTTTTTGCTGATAAGCTTTCGTTTTATGAATAAAATGCAGTGGACTTCGCAAGATTTCAAGCCACCACTGTTTAGCGGTCGCTCAACTTTAGACGCCCAAGACTGTTAAAGTGAGATCTGCTCGCTCTCTTAAAATCTTTTCTTGGGCTACTCGCTCTTTTGACTTAATGCAGCATAAAAAAGTTTAATCGCATGGAATGAATGAAAGAGTGAGAAAAAGAGGGGAGAGTGTGCGAGCGGGACCAATGACCGCATTGGGCTATAAATAGCAACAAAAAATCAACAACAAAAATAAAAACAAACAAGAAGATAACGCGTGTGGAAATTGTAATTATGCCTTTACGTTATTCTCTCATTTTTAGATTACATCAAAAGAATTCGATAAGCTTGCGGTTCAAAACGGTAAAAGAATAACCACATTTCGATAACTATGACAGCAGCGATAAAGAAAACGCTATTCCAGTTACCAAACGTGTCATGTGCCACTTAATTAAACCAACTAACTTTTTGGGACAACAAAATGCTTGGCGAATTTCACAATTTAACACTAAGGCCAACTCAAATAAAGAATAACGCGACAGGAAAACAAAAAACTGAATGTTTACACAACAAACAAAATGCGAAGTGAGAGCGAGACAGGAAATGTTCTCTACATAAACGCTTGGCAACAAAAAGAGAAATAAGAAAGCTAATTTAAGCTGAAACAATTTTAAAAATGCGCAAAAGAAAGCTAATTTAAGAAAACCAAACAGAAACATGTTTTGTTATAAAAGAAAAAAGTTAATTTTAAAGAGAAAAATAATAAAGCGAGAACATAAATACGTAAAAAATTTAAGCAAAATCAAAAAACACGACTTAGGCCTTTACAGAACAAAGTAAGAAACACTTTATACAAGTAATTGAAGGATACCAGACTTCGTGTTTATTAAAGAACTTGATTGATTTTCTTAAAACAGAAAAGCGCGCTTTTCCAGCTGTTAACCAACCGAAAAGCTACTTTGGTGCAAGAAAAATTATGAAAAGAATGGAAAAATAGCTCAATGAGTTTATTTCTGCAGACAAATTTCATAATAAATCAAAAGCAAGAGAGCCGGAAAGAGAGGACGGGAGAGTCACACGATCATGTGCAACTGATAAGCACTGTCACACGACTTCACACAAACACACTTGCACACACAGTAGTAGTTCAATAAATTTTCATTTGAGCTTTATTGATTTCTCGCAAAAGAAATCAAAACAATTAACGCAAAATGCTGAAGAATCATTTACACGATATTCATATGCTGCTACTCCTTCTTTTCTCCACGCACGCGCGCCTCAGAGTTGTTTTTGTTTTTTCCTGTTTTATGTTCCCTATAGTAGCGTTTCCTCGCGATCTGTACTGCGAAGCGATCGCCTCAAAATCCGCGCAACAAATGAGCGCACAGACGCAAAACAACAAAGGCAGTGGCAAAGCCAAAGCCAAAACCAAGAGCAGCGCAGTCGACGTCGTAACAAGTGCGCCAACGGCCGATGGCAAAAACAACAAAAATAAAAGTAAAGACATGAAGAACGCTAAAGTCCACTTTGAGATACCCTTCCATCTTTCTCTTGCATTTCTAAATGTAAATTTACTGTGACCCTATTTGTAATATTTTCCTCAAGTTGTTTTATTTGAATATGAAGTTTTTTAAAGATTAATTATAATCCAAAGTGCGTTTAGCGGTCGGAATCAATGTTCACTGCAAAGGGTATTAAAAAAGTGGAGAGCACGGAAGCTAAACAAATACAAAAATAAATATCAACATGGAAAAAGAGGGAAGTGGGGTGGTGTAGTTGGTGGGGCGCCGGTCTGCCGTTGCACGATGAAGAGAATGGGGAAAAGAGGGACAAAGCGAAATAGGGGAGCGTGTCGAAGAGAGCGGGTTAAGCAGTCGCACAGTGGGTGATATAGAACAAGCCAAAAATTTAAGCAACATTTAAAACAAATTTTAATCAAAATTCCTTTTCTTAAAGAAACTAAAGCAAGTTTGTTAACCTACATTGAATTAAATCCACTGTAATGTCTTGATTTAATTCATAATTTTTTTCTATCCCATTGTCAATTTCACTGTTTAAAAGGTTTTTCTTTTGTTTGCCTCCGCTTATTCTCTCTCCGCTTTTTGTACTCGGATTTTATCAGCTCTGACGCGCACGATAAGTTAAAAACGTTTCCAGCGGCAATAATAATAACAACAAGCAAAAACAATTAGCAACAATAAAGACCCAAAGTCCCAAAAAGTGGAGCATAGATACAACAGACGTATGTGCTTTCCATACCGCACCCAGATACAAAAGTGGAATCCAGTAACCCACTCTCTCTCATTTTTTCCGTTTCGTTATCTCATTGGTTAAGATAACTGGGTTAACACAGTGGAAAGGGGGTTAATTGGTGGGGGGAAGCCCGTACAGTCATCATGGAAAATTCGTAAATTGCATCTACAAAAAGTCGATCCATAAAAAGCAAGCAAACTTATAGATACAAATATATCTTTGTATCTATAGGTGGTGGATTATGGGATCGGCCGTCTGCATTGGCCATAGCGCGAAATTCTTTTCTGCTCTGCATAAAAATGCGCCATCGCCGAAGACCGAAGACTTATAAAAATAAGTTATTCGCACACACACAATACTGATTTTTGCGTGGTCTATTTATTTTTAGAACGTCTCCGTCTCGTTTGCTATTTGCATATAATTTCCAATGCAGTTCGGCCATGGCGAAGCGTCTCGGCAGGAGGGAAAATGGGGGATGTGTTTGAGGCTGGTAAAAAGAAAAAAGGCAAAAGGCGATCGTCATCCTCGCAGTGCGTATAAATTCAAATGAATCGGAAAATTAAATGTCGAATTTTAAATACCACCCAGGCTTTAAGATGTTGTTTATAATTTTACAACTCATATTTAACAACTTCTTTATTTTAAAATAGCTTATAAAGTGGCTAGCAGTAATAGGTTTTCAAAGATCAATATTTTAATCATTAGAAAATGGTTTTATAATTTGATGATTGGTAATTATAAGTAATTTTTATAATTCTTTCATTTAAGTTAATTACGAAATATTCTCCCTCAGCAGATAAATAGAAAATTAAGGTATACAAAAACTGAAAGCAAAATGATTCACTTGCCTAATTACCTCCCAATCCAGCTAATTTGTACCCATTATCTCAGGTAGACGTATATATTTAAAAACCTCATTCGGTTAACACATTTTTCGGGTATTGCACTCTGCGATTACAAATATGCGGCAACCTTAATATAGAACAAGCAAATAAATTATAAAAATACGTGCATGTATTTATAAAACATCGCTGTTGTAATTAATTTAACTTCATAATTTCAATATTGACACATTAACGAGTTGCTTGAACTTTGAATTGCAGTTGCAATACCGTTTCGCATTAATTGGTGACACAATTCACTCTGCAATCGGTCGCTAAGAATGAAATACTCATTCGCAAATGACTCGATACTATAACTATACTATGTATAGTTTGAGTAGATGAGTATTGGGCAGTGCCAAGTGTCCAAGTGATTGTTTGTTTAGATTAGATCTTTAATTTGGCCGCTGTTTGTGACTTTTCAACGCGTCATGTGGAAGAGTAATTGATTCCGTGTTTTTGCATTTAGTTGCTGTTGCGATTTGAAAAATGTTTTTCTCGCTGGCATTGATAAATTCATCTAGCATACCCATTGAGATGTTTACTCGTTCTGATCGTGGCAACCAACAGCTAAATCATTAAGTTGTAAAAATGTTAAAAAAATGTTTGATTACGCTTAAAAAACCAACGGAAGCCATTAACATTTTTTTTCACGTTTTTTTTGCTTCTCTTAAGTAAGTTATAATTCTCTTTTTGACATGTTTATAAGCTTTTTGTGGCAGTTATTTTTAATTTTATTATTGCCGACCAGGAATAAATCTCTAACAGAATTTGGGGATATCCCTGAACAAAAATATTTTCGCCATTTAAGTTGGTAAGCCAATAGAGACACACAAACTCACGATTTGAATTCACCCTCCTATCTATCAAACAGGTATCATTTATTTCGTTATTTGCATTAGGCTATATGCATGCATTATTTTTGGATTATAAAATGACAAATGCGGGGCATATGAGAAATAATTTTCAGCGATAACACAAAATTCAAATTAGTTTTGGTGACCCAATGGTGAAATGCGCTTGTGAATGCGTTGAAAAGCTGAGTGTTGTGAATTTAAAAAGAATATCTCATAAAGAGATGAATGATTTTTTGAAATTTCAACCCACTTTGCTTGAGGCACACTAAATTTAGTAACTGCATTTTGTCTTTTTTTGTCACTTTGTTTCTTGCAAACTTTATGGTTTTCTTTGAAAGTATTTTTTTTAAATTCAGATGTCAAGTTTAGATTCCTTCACACACGACACTTGAGACCTGACTGAGTTGAGTGTTATCAACGGAACTGCGATTGAGATTCGATCCGATTGCAGTTCCAAATCGCATTGCTCGCGATCGCTGAATGGGACGACGCTCCTCCAGCGCGAAAATCACAAATTCGACTGAAGTTCACAAATCGTTGTAATCAAACATTTAAAACGAACATTTTTTTTCGTTAAGCAATAAACAACAATAAAAAATTAAATGAGCTCTACAAATGGCGGAGCACGACGACAGCAGCGTAGCAATAACAACGATACTATAGAAACGCCGTCGTCGCCGATCGACGAAATAAATGTACGCGAAATGTGCGAAATTTTGCCGCCTCCATCAACGCGTCGGCGTTAGTTAGTAGTAGTTAGTAGTTCAGTATCCGCCTTTGTGTCTATATCTGTATAGGTGTGCCTATGTCGGTTGACTTTAGCTCGGATTTGCCGGGCTTTATTCCCAAAGCCCAGCTGGTAAGTAATATGCATGAGTGATTGCCCCTGGTTTCCACATAAAATACCTTTGGCAGGGGATTTTTTTTAGAATCCATTCCTAGTTCCGTTCTCGTGGGTTCTATTAGGTTCGTCAGTTTAAGAGGTTTCAGGAAAAGTTTTCTAGAAATTTAATAGATCTGAATGTTTAGTGTCCTTTCTGTTCATAATAGTTTCCTGTGCGGTTTGGAAAGAATTTTTTAGGAATTTATTTTAGTAGCTCAGATCGCCTATCCCTGGTAAATCTTCACCGACGTCTTTCGAGCATGTTTACAGAGATTTTAGCAGCATTGTGCACCGGGTAATTTTTCTTTACCAAAAAGACATGCGCAAGTTTGATGTTATTATTATTTTAGCAATTTGCATACTGCTTATAGCATGTGTATTTTTAAATTCTTGTTTATAGTCAAAACGCTGTTCTTTATTCCCTTTTTTTGGGTTTCTCTTATTTTTAACAAGGGAATTTGTTGTATCCAAGCCAACAAAAGTTGAAAATCAAAATGTGTGAAATTTGTCAGGCTGTGCAAATCGTAAATGTATCTATATCTGTATCTGTACCGATGGCTTACTTTTTATTCGCACCCGCAATACGAGTCAAATGATCGAACGCCCTCGTACCACAAAATTTTGACACACAAAAAGCGTAAAAAAAATGAAGCTGAAAACCTGCGATTTAATTAGCGCCCAATGTTATTCGACACGTGTGTGGGCGGTTAAAGGTTGATCGTTCCTGAACCTCATATACTTCAGTTAATACATATATGTACCCGATATCCAAGGCGTTGGCCAAAAACTTTTGTGAAATGTTCACTTGCGTGACGTCGGCGACATCAAAATGAGGAAAAACTCATGAATGAGTACAACAAAGTTGGGGGACAGCTATAATGAATGAACCAAAACGAACCCATTCCACATAGTAAGAACTATAGTGGATATATATACGACTATAAAACTAAGAGAATATTACAGTAAAGTGTTCTGACTATAAGATACCGTCTACTGAATTTAATAATATTGTATAATGGGTTCATTACCCTTTTTAAGACTTATGCTAATTCATTTTCTTTTTAGTTTTTCTACTATGTCTAAAAGGTACTTGAAGCACCTTAGAAAAATATATTTAAATAAAAATATCTGACGGCTACTAATTGACGCTGGGTGCTTGAAACTTTATACATTTGTATAAACATACGTTTATATATTTTTGAAAAATTTAGAAAATTTGCCATGTGCCATCTCCCATCAGCTAAATCAATGCTCACATGTTCGGTTCAATTTGCTGGTCAACATCTCATGTGATCTCTCTCTCAGTCGTTTTCTCAAGGCAAGGACGTTTGGGACTTTTGCACTCGCAATCTTTTTTGCGCAAAAAATTTAAAATCATAGCAGTAAATAAATCAATATTCTTGTACGCAAAATGTTTTGCCCAGTTCGAGGGTATTTCAGTTCAATGAGTTCAAAAAGCATCGCAAATTGCAGGAAGTTAATATTTGGGGAAGGCATGTGACTAAAATAATAATGGCACATTATAAAAAAATTAAATGAATTTCCTACTCTATACAGATTATAGTAATCTTGCCACAAAACAGTCCAGAGATTTTATGTTGCCCCTTGATATGCAGTAAAAAAAATTATGAAAATCGTTAAGCCGAGACGGTAAAATGACAATGACTAAAAATAGCAATCGCAATTGAAATGTCGTTCCATATTAAGCCCGGAGCCCAGTTATAGTTTCATTCTTTCTCTTGTCATTGTGGCTAAATTTAAAACGCTGATCGTCACGTTGAGTGGGTAGGAAATGGTGCACAGATCGTACAATACTATGTACTATACTATATAGCATGATGGGGGAAGCTCTGTCGATTCCACCGAGTGCAGAAATTGTAATTTACAGGCGAGCAAAGAACGACGCAAGTTCAAAGTCAAAATACCAATTGAACGAGCGGAGCAGAGACACAAGTCCGCTTGTCAGTCAGTCAGTCAGTTCAGCATGATGATGATGATCAACATGTTGCCGTCGATCGTAAAAGATCATTATGCCAATTTGTTGTTGTTTTTCCGCTCGACCGAGCATGCAAACAAATTAAGACTGAGGGCGCCGTGCCCCGACTAGCGAAATTTAATTAGCATTGCCTCACTGTACTGCTTTTTGCACTGCACTGCAAAGAAAATTCGGATATGGAAGTGTTTTCGAAATGTTTGTGAGGCTAACCTTTCGATTTTGTGAAAGGCAGCAGAAAATTAATGAACCTTTTACACCTTTAAAATAATTCTTTCATTATGCAACTATATGGATTTTGATTAAATAGCTGTCCTCGAGATTTTTCTGTCAATGTTGTTTTTTCGTGAGTGAAACGCTTTCGCATGCCCTCCCACACATTTCCGCGTGCAAGCAGTGAGGCAAATTGAGCGATTAGCGCCGAGCAGAACGTGACCCACCGCGCGGATTCCCCGCCCCCGAAAAATCCCACTGTACCTTTTACCTATCTCAATTTAATTTCGATTTTAGATCACTATTTAGATTTGAGTTTCGCCGAATGCAATTCGATTTAATGCGTTTCGTCTGCCGCTCTAGCTGTACTTTTACTGAAGCGTGCTTTCCTAATGACTTCAGTATAGTTTCCCATTCCTGATGACTAATTATTGTATAATTTAATATAATTTTGCTGTGAAGAAACAACTAATTCTATGTTCACTAAGAAGCCAGTTATGATTGCAATTTTATATTAAAGTTCATTCGCGCTTTTCATTTACTTACCAGACTGCTTTTTTATATCTGAAAAAAATAAATAAAACACTGGTTTAGAAAAGTTAGATAGCACAATAAATCAAATTGGTACAAAAAAGTTGGAAAATGCGATGGAAAAAACGTTTGCCATAAATATAAAATGATACACAAATTACTTATATAAAAACCATTTATATTATCTGCATTTATTAATCGCAAGCAATCATGAAACTTAAATGAAAATCTCTATCAGCATTCACCATGTAAGAGATTGGCAAAGTGCACCAAAAATAATATTTAAGAGGGGACGAAAAAATAATAAATAATTAGCGCACATAAATTTTGATTTGTAAATGTGCGAATAATTTATTATAGATTTTCTCCGCGACTTTTCGTTGGCGGGGCATGGAAGGAACTAAAAATAAATGAGTCTCGAATGTGGCTGCAAAACTTATCTTCATGCCAATAAATATAAACTTATCCCGCATGCAAATGAATTATGAGCAGCCGATGGCCACCAGCGTGGCATCGAGATGCCACCAAATTCTGTGCCAAACGTAGTCATTATACCGAAGCGAAATAAGTGGTCTTTAGCGGTGGAAGGATCGCAGATATAGCACCTGTTGCAACCAATTAAGCGAATTTCGTTTAAATAATAAAATAGAATATGTGATCGCTGTCAAACTACAGAGCAATTAATCTTGCTTGCCGTTTAGGACTTTATTAATTTCTAAGAATTCCCTTTTTATGGATTTGACTGTGGGCTCAATCTATCTATATGTGTTAAAATTGTATTTATTGACGTCTTTGCCAGATATTGGTGACGTCTTTTCTGCATTTTACGGCATAAAAAAATAAATATTGGTTTCGACAATAAAGATGGTTGTTTATGTTAGTACTTATCTAAATTATCCAAAAATAGGCAAAAATATACAAAAAGAAATACAATTTTTACGCTCAATTGTTATTTAACTTTCTGCGAACTAAGCTATAATTTTTTATGCCTATTTGTTATATGAATGAAAAATTAAAACACATTTTTAAGAAAGTGATACAACAATAACATAAAAAACAAGACACAGAAATTTCTCTTTAAACATAAATCAAGCCCTAACGTTAAAAGCTTTATGAACTGCGATATGGTTTTATGCAGACAAAACAGCTGCGGAATTTAACAATTTGTCATAAATTATAAACAAAGGTTATGCTGCATTCCTCCCACAAACAAAAACAACAACGGATGGACAAAATCAGACGGCACGTGCTGTAAAACCCATTTAAAATATTTTCCGGCCGCATAAAATGAAACAAAATAGAAAATTGTGAGCGTATTAAATATGAAATCTTTGCGGACAGCAAAATGACATGCAAGACAAACAAATTGCGCTTAAATTTATGACAGATGCTTAGATTTCAATCGTCCTCTCAACAAACAAATGCACAAATGTGAAATGTGGTCGTTGCAAAAAAACTCAGTAAATGTTTTATGGAAATAATAAAATGTAGAAGTAAGAGAAGCCATATAGTGGCTTTGGAAAGTTTTTTTCAACATTAATTGTTAGGTAAATAGTGCTTTAAATGATTTAGAGTACATTTAAACTTAAATTCCAGTAATACAAAATTTAATTTGGAAAAACTGTATGAGCTTACGGATTTTTTACTGTGAACACTCAGTGCCTGCATTGGGATTAATCTTATCGCTATGATTGCTTGCACTCACTAATTTTCGATATTCCTTCAAATAATCGGACTTGCTTGAAGTGCTACTATATTTAGAAGCAATTGTCAGAGCAATAAAATTTTGACCAATCATGGAAGTATTTTTAAATTCCGTGTTAATTTATTCTGAGTGTACACCGAATGCACAATTGATGCAAGTCGGCGTCGAGAAAGTGGCAATTAGAAAGGGCGACAATGGCACGTGGTTCGCACGATGTCACATGGGCAATGGGGAACTTATCTAAGCAATCATCGATGATGGGCAAGCATCGCCTGGCACTCCGAGCATAAATTGCTGACTCGGGATGCAACTAATTAGAAACGCAAATTGGCAATCGGCAATTGCCACTTGTGCGCGGACAACAGGTGTAAATGACACGATTATGGCATTGAGTTTCTGCACTTTAAAACCCCCGTTGATCAATCGAATTAGCAGCGGTTTCCAAATCCCATTGTTATTGCTTTTAAATGGCTTTTTATTTGCTACAGCCACGCGACTCTGGCATGCGGCGTACATGTGAAATTCTTAAGCTACAAAAGATATTTTGGACCATTTGCCAATGCTTTTTTCGTTTTAATAAACCATCTACAGGGGAAGGTAAAACACCTTTTATAGGAAGTATGGGAGGTGAAAGGGCAGAAGGTGTTGATTGAACTGGCTATTTGTTTTTAATCCCGATTAGCACTTTAACAATAATATTTTTGCAGTTTTTATAGTTTTTAGTGGATTTGTTTTGTGAACTTGTGCAATCATTATCTACCAATTAACGTATTGATGCAAAGACTGTAAAATACTTGCTTACATTACAGCAAAAAATATTCTTTGTTTTGTCTTATAGTACAATTTGGTAGGTTCTACGGTACCACAACAAACTTACATATGTATAACAAACTTCCGCATGGGTCTTAAAATCAATTTACCCCTTAACTGAAATTATGGTTAACCTTCAGGAATTAGTGTGTGAAAATTAACCTCATAGATGTGTACCGACAAAAACTAGTTGCAATAACAGCCGGCGGCAATAAAAGATGATAACACGCTAAATGAATGCATATTGCATAATCTTTTGCTTTCTGTCCGTCCCTCTCTCTGGATGCAATTGAAAATGCAAATTGCGCGGGAATTTGAAAGAACAGCTGCTGCACCCACATCTGCGAAAATTTCCTAGTGAAATGGGAAAGCAGAAAAAAATAATCGCCTCTAATTGAGGACCCGTCCATTTGAAGTTCGTATCAATTAAGAGAAATGCAAGCAATTCAATCAAGTCGGGGCAGCGTTACAATATGAGTGGACGCGAGTGTATGTACAACGCGTGTGTTCCAATTCTTCGTGTACTTACAGCCGCGGTCATGACAAAATTAAACTTATAATTATACAACTACCATCGAATATTTAACGCAGAACTAATTAATTACCCAATATTTATTTTAATACATATTAAAATAAAAAACTGAATCTAATTACGACATATAATGAACAAAAATTTTTTTGTTGCCAATAGCTATGATCTTGACCCCTACTGTGAGTGACACGCATAACCTCACACAACCACAAGCTCAGTCACTGAGTCACCCTCGCTAGCGCTCTCTTCTACGTTCCTCTCTTTGTGCCTCTCTCTCTTAGGCACAGATGACAACAAGCCGGTATTTTCATACATATTTCCGCAACGAACGAAATGCAAAAAGCATAAGGCTAAAAATCAACTTAAACACAAAATCACACAACAAAAAACACAGAATAAGCAGCGGTAGTTTGCTAGAACCAGTTGCAAAAAAAAAATCAAAGGAAATAACTTGGGGGTGGGGTGAAACGAGAGAGACAACCAACCTGTTTTCCTTCTGCAAAATCGATGAAAAACCAATCGCCGAAAAAGCAATTTCACACGGGAACTTATCTTGCACCGATTTCGTATTATTCACTAATTGATTTTCTGATTTGTTCGCCTGCCCTCTCCTCTTTGCAACCTTTTATTGTATTTGTTGCGAAAAAATTCCACTGCTCTCTCAGCGTGACGAAACGTTTTTTTTTGATGTTGTTTTTGCTTCTGGCTGCGTTGCTGGCAAGTTCACCGATTTACTGGAATATATTCGACATCCGGATTACCGTCAATATCTCCAGGTTACACTTTCTGGCTGATTTTGTGCTTCTTTCGAGTAAAATTTACGCGAAAAAGTCGAAAAGACAGCTAAGCAAAGCGTTTCAACGGAACCAGTGTGACCGCCGAAAAGTTAAATTAATATACCGCTTGGCTTTCAAAAATATACCATGAATATACCATAAAATATATGTAGTCTCGGTCGTTGATTCGCTTCAACCCGAAATGCTGTTAAGTTTGGCGGTCAATTCAAATCAATAGGTGAGAAGGCTCCACTTAAATATTTGGACCTTTTCCACAATTCGGATTGAAGTGCAAGAAGTGTAACAATATAAAACTAAAATTTCAAAACAAATTAAACAAATACTTGACACTAAATTCGCAACTATGAATACTTTTTCTTGAGCCATATTATTCGAATAATAAAAAAAACTAATCTGCAAACTGGATCCAAAAAAAACACTTGTAGTTATATTAGTGAAATTGAAATTATAGTAAACCAAGCGAAAAAGCTTTGATGACTGACCTACCCTACCCGCTCAACTTCAAAAGCGTTTTAAAATGGGAAGCTTGAGTGCTGTAATTGCCCAACAGAATGTTAAGGGAATGTTACACCACCACCCACCCCATTTGGCTATGTAAGCGTGGGGGGAATGGGTCTAGGTCAAGGTCACAGGGGCCGGTAAACGCCCTTGAAAACGCCGAATAGCTTCCGAGTCAAGATTTATGTATTCCAGATTATTACATAAAGAATGGCTTGTGGCACAAGTGCAGATACACTTTAAGTTTAAGCCCTCGGGAAAACTAAGGAAGTTCTGCTAATCATAATCATCGGGATTTTGGAGGATGGGCAATCGGGCTCTTCAGCAAATGACCAAAATCCAATCAGTCAACGCTTTGCGACGTCTCTGACAAAAACCAATCAACTAAGTGTCCAAGAGCCACGAATTAGCATAAGAAAGAAAGTCCGGCCGAGACTGCAGGGAGAAATCCAACGGAGAAAAGGAAGAAGTATGGGTTTTGGTCCAATGACCACTGGTTTTATGCCATGAAAACCGTTTAGTTCGTAATGAAATTTTACAACCGAAGGGCGCTCGTAAAACGGCCACGTCAGCGAACGCCTGTTTAGTTGCCTGTGGTTACACTATCAGAAATTTTATGTTGATATATTCTACATTCACATTAATTTCAAAAACTTATCCTTATCCTAAACTTAAAGAACCATAGCAGCAACGTAAATAAAAATCACGTATACGACGTGTTACAAAATAATTTTTAAGATTTTAATAATAACACATATTTGATTAATGGGTAACTCTACATAATACATAAATGCAATAATATTCCGGACAATAGGTCTATCAGGAATAATTTTATAATATAATTTTTATTATATCACTCCCCCTAAAAAGTGCATTAAAAAGGTATAAATTCGTTTCGTTGAGTGTAGGTTCCTTGGGTTCCCTTCGTGGTTGCATTTCATCGCAACCCCAGTAGGCAGTCTAATACCTCCGTCTCCCAATAAAGTCGTATCCTCCATCCACTTGCCACACTGCACTTGTCTGGCAAGTTTGACTTAAGTGCAGTTTTAACGCTGCTTTGTCCGTTTTCCGAGGGGTATGAACTACGGCCTTGGATTCGGCTAGGGATACGGATAGGTATACGGAGGTGGGGTTACGGCTACGGTTACGGATCTGTTTGCCCGCCTTGTAAGCACTGCGAACGTGTTAACTGCAGGTGTTTGGCATTTGAGTTACGTGCGCACGCAACAAATGCGGAAAGTATTTGGTGGAGGTGTGGTTATTTTTGGGCGGGGATCTGAGGCGAGGATAATCCGACACAGCAACGCATATAATTAATTGTCAGCTGCTGGCTGCAGTACATTCATCCCCAGAGTTATGGAAAATCTGTGTGTGTCATAATCCATCATAACAGGGAATTACAATAATGACAGGCTTAAGTTGTAGGAATGAGAAATGCACCTAAAACTTCCCAATCGGAAATCGCATCTGCAAGTAAATATGTTTGCAATTGGTAATCAAATTTAAAGTTAATTGGTTCCTCAAATGTTAGATTAATATTATAAGGCCTTGGTGTTTATCAAAAATGACAAATCATATCTACTTGGCTTCTGTTTAACTAGCATCCACTTACAATTCGTTCTTCCATGAAAATTCCCCCTTATTCCGATTGCTTAACGCTGGACCCCAGCCAATTGTTTGTAAACTGAGGACCGCTCATCCACATAATTGCCACATAAAGAGCCCTTTGGTGGCGAGTCGCAGGTTGCATGTGGCACCCACTTCTGGCGACCCACCAAGTGACATCCGTTCGACAGGAAAACACCAATTAAGGCGGAGGGATCATTGTTGTGCGACAATTAAATCTGAGGGAGTACGGTGCCGCCGAGTGATGGATTTGACCAGCAAACAAACCGACCAACGGGCAGTTGGGTGGTCTTCGTCATGTGGAACGTGCCGCTGCAACGCGCTCAACTCATAATGCAACCCATTATGCACTGGACAACTTTCGGTGGGTTATGGCAAATTAAAGTTTATTTAAACTTGTAAAATATTTTTCAAGCAATTAGAATTATACCATAAGAAAAATTTAAAAGTCCAAGAGTTTGAACATAAATTGTGGAGATATATTTCCTTTATGGTAATATTAAATATTATTACTTTAGATCTTAATATTTTTAAGTATACTGATTTAGTTAAATAATTATTTAAATACTTAAATACATTTCCGAGATTTATTTTGTTGATATACCACTTGGCATTACCGATGGAGATGCGAGATCCAATGGCATCGGCCCTGGACCCTACTATATGCAATCAGTTTGAGTGCTTTGATATATTGGCCAATGCCGCAAATGAACGCGTGACTCGAACTGCAGAGGAAGCTTGGACTCTTCGTTGGTGCCATGTGCCACTTGAATTCGCCTCATTTGGCAGCCGCACACGTCGTCGCACCACCGCGCCACCCACTCCATCGAATCCTCCCGAGAAATTTAATTTCAAGTCGAGCTAAGTTAAGAAATAACCCAACAAATGTCATCAGTATTGCCGTACACACAAATAAATTAAATGGGTTTATTAAGCTGGTTACTTTAAAATATAAATTATTTTCCAGACTCCTATTTTTACCTGGAAAAAGCAAGTAATTAATATTTAAGTTTAGGTTCCACAAATTCATTAACTATTTATAAACAAAATCCTCACAACTTATTACGCTTAAGACCTTGCTTACAAACGAAGGAATAAACTTGATAAGTTAGTCACCTCTTCTTCACATAATTAAAGATTGCTATTTTTTGGGTGTAGGGAACGAAGACCCAGAGACTCAAAAGTACGTCGAGTTGGCCAACACCTGAGGTGCACTTATGGCAGTCTCATTGGCATTGGCAATGGAATTGGCAGTGGCAGTAGCAGTGGCAGTTGCAGTGGCATTAGCATTCCTTACAGCCAACCAGTCGGCAGATAACAAAAACATGCACAACAATTGCCTCGAGACGGGAATGATGATGCCGATTCCGAGTGTCGATGGGTGGGTGTTCCAGTGTTCGAGTGTTCGAGTACCTTTAAGGTGGCAAGATTGCCCCCCAACCAGCAACCAACGGGCCACCACATGTGGCAGCTTGTTTGCGTCGCCGTGGATGGATTCAGCGATTTTATGGCAGGCACTTGCTGCCTGAATGTGCGGATATGCAGAGGTGCCGATGTGTGTGTGTGTGTGCCGGCAAATAAACACATTTTCAAGCTCAATGCCATTCGGGCCAAAGGCGAAAGGCTGCAGAAGCAGCAACAACACACAGACCGCCGAGAACAAAGCCAAACAGAAACAGCAACAGAAGCCGGCACAGAAATAGAAATGGAAAAGAACTGGCCGATTCTAGGGGAGTGGAGATGGAGTGCACCGGCTACTCCTGGCTGAGCACTGCGAGAAATCGGGTGTTAGAAGAGGGAATAAACTTTTAAAACTTTTAAAATCTGAGCCCAAATATGTACATAATTACATAAAGACAATTTCATAAAATGTATTTAAAGTATGTAGTAGGAGGTAAATATATTTAGGACCCACTGTATAATACATATTTGAGACTTTACTTAGCCTATTTCGTTTCTTAGTTATTTTTAAAGAATATTTAAAATATATTTGTGATACTTTAATTCTCCCAAAAAAAATGCTTAGAAAAAATGTTTACACTTTTGAGGCAAGTAATCGATTTTCTTGCAGTGTAGAGCTCCTGTCTGTCCACGGGCATATAATGAAGTTTCGCAATCTCGCTGCAGCCGTGTGGGGATGAGCGACTTTCCCAGCTTCTCTGTGTGGGTGTGGCTGAGTTTTCCCGTGGAGAGTGTGTGTGTGTGTGTGTGTGTGTGACTGGGCGAGGAGCTCAAGTGTGATTACATGGGCCATGTTCGTTGGCATCGAGTGTTTGTGGCATAATATTATTGTTTTTGTGCTCGCGTGTGAAATCAAACTCAATGCAAGGCAATGCGATGCATTGGCAAGAGGATTAAAAGGATACGCCAGGAATAGGAGCAGGGACTTTGGGGACATTGGGGAATGGGGGACAGGAGCGAAGTGCACGTGCATAACGTTCGAGGATTGTTCGACCTCCATTGTGGCGCCCACTTTCCCTCTAACTTTTCCATTTTCCTCACTGCAGTCGATTTCGCAGTTATCTGCAGTTCGATCCGACAGCTTGTAAGTGTAAACAGATACGTAAAACCTTGGGTTATTATTACAGAAGTAACATTGACTTTGAGAATTCGCTGCAGGTGAAAATGAGAGTGCTTGATAAAATATTACTTTTTGGTAATTAAATACTTATATATATTTTAATAAGCCTGATATTGCGTAAAAGGTATTTCTACTTACCTTAGCCTTACCAGTACAAACTTAAATCCATTAAATTAGACCAAAAGATACTACTCAAGGTGTTAGTTGCTAATGATTCTATTAAGCAGAGTATCCTCTTTCCGCCCAATATCATAATCCCTCATCCTGGGCATAATTGAGACCTAAACTTCCTGTAGGTGCTGCCAACGAAACCGAAACCATAACGAGTCTCATCATCACTGTCGGTTGTCGGCAGCTTCCTTTCAGCTTCCCAAAGGGCGGATCAGGCCACAAGGTTCACGCCCTGTGGAAGGGGCACAACTCCTGCAGACTCACTCGATGGCATCTGTTTCAGCAGTTGCCACAAAAACACCCGGGAACGAAAACAAAAACAAAAACAATAACAACCGAAAGAGCAACAAGGCTAACTTCAAGGAACCATACTACAGTTATTTGACTTTTAACTTTTATTGCTTTATGTAGTTTAGATAAACGTTTGCGGCATGCCATAAATATGCAGCATGTTGGACCACAGCGAAGAAAACAAATAGCACCAGCAACAACCGGCAAAAACAAGGGAATTCCAAAGGGATCCCGGTCAAAACTAAAAAACAACTAGGGTCATAAAAGTACCTAAACAACAGATACTCTATCGCAGACTACAAAGATCTCTCTGAAACGCAGTAACAAAAATATCATAAACACATAAAGTAAGCACTAAATAAAATATTGTATTAGGTGAAGTTTTAATAAATTCCTTAATATATAAGTGAGTGACCGATTAAAAAAGCATGTTTCACTTATGAGGTTCAAAATAAAGTGTTCTCTGAAAAATATCCACTTTATATTAAGTTCATAATTCTCAAAGAAAGTGTAAAATCATTTCAACTGGAAAAAATAGTGGTAAGTGGGGAGTTGAAGCTGAACTCCACGCTTGTCTGCTGATGGCCTTCGATGATAGACAATCGGCAGCCAGACAAATGGACGAAATGGGGGCAGACGGTCTAAACTATTTCTGATTTATGCTGTAAGTTACAATCGGCAACTTGCAACAGGGAACTTATGAACTCGCCACCTCTGCACTTGACTTCCTGGCCCCGACATTGTCTTGCGGCAATTTGTCGAGTATTCCCAAACTCCGCTATCCACGCTCCATATGAGTCTTCAAGTTGAACGTTACTTTCTTTCTGGCCGAAACTTTAAGCAGTGAAAGTTTTAATTAATTTCACACGCCCGAACTTAACTTTCGCATCTAATTACACGAGAAAGGTGTAAATAAGGGGGTGGTTTAGTGGGTGAATGGGTGGATAGGTTGTGCGTTGGGTGGTTGGGGGTAATGTGTCTGTGGCCAACCATCATTATCGCGAGTATCATAAAATGCTGAAAGCAAAAGGCAAACAAACAGCAGCTGCAGCCACAAAGTATGCAACACGTTCTCTTGCGATAAAAGGGTGGCTTGTGGCGAAAAATGGGGATTGGGGATAGATGCTCGAAATATCTGGCAAAAAGCAAACAAACGTCGGCTGTAACATGCGGGCCTGAAATTATACAGCTTAATATTACAAGATTCAGTTTAAAGGGGAAATCATCCTTCAGTTGATAAAGAATATTGTGTGGGCCGATTATTCAACTCAGTCACATTACTGCGACATTATCATTATCAGAATCTTTGTGGATGTCCTACGTTAAAAGCATCAATCCACAAAGTATCTAGTGCATTTGCACATTTCGGATGCATTTGAAAATCCGCTTAAATGGCAACCAAAACGAAACGAACCAAACCAAACCACGTACGCCTCGAATCGACAAAGGATTTCCCACTCCTTTGATTCGAGCACACCTCCGACATGGAGTCAAACACCTGCGAAATTGAATGAGAAATATCCATTCCGAGTGCGTTGTGTGTATTTTCCGGGTTTGCCAGTGAGTTGTTGTTGCGCTTTCAAACTTACTCCCACCGCAGAGCCTCCCTCCCCCAACTCCCACGATTATTTCAGAGCCCCGAACATAGTTGGCTAAAAACAATTTTATTTCATCGGAAGAATTTTGAGCAATACAAAAGGATTTTCAATCCATGAACTGCGAATGCATTCCTCGATTTTTTTTGTCTTTCAAAAAAATTTCAATTCACTTGCCTTTGTCGAAAATATTTTTCAGCACCTTTAAGTTATTTTAAGCCACCCAAAAAATACAACTTCTATGGAAGAATTGGATCTTTCCTTCTTATTGAGTCAACGCTACTTCTATGTGAATCTTGAATATTTTGCTTAAGCTGAAATTTAACTTTAATTAAAAGCCCTCTTAAATATGTGGCATCTTTACTTAACGAAAGCGAAAAAAACTACACAAGCATCTATTTTTATGCTGCGAAATTTAAAATGAAAAGCAAACTTTGCTCATCAGACTGAAGGAGTACGGAATGCGGCGTACGAGGTGTTGTTGTGATTTGGCATATATCTATTTTTGTGCTGGTTGTTTTTGGTCTATACTCCATCATAAAGCATCAAATGTCAGGAGCAGTCGCAGTCAACAACAACGCACAATTTCAAAGTTTGAATTGAGTTGCGTCTGGACTCCACGTTCCACTTGGAGTTCTATATGTTGGTCTACCAGTTTTGTTTGCAATCGTCGGGGTTAGTCTCCAGATTCTCCAGCCCCTTGGGATCATCATCAGCGGAATGGAACAAGAAGAAAAAAAAATTATGTGATGGGAATTCAGCGCCTTACATGAGTCATTAAAGCTTTTGCTTATCCACCAACTTGTGAATGTAAATCACGAATATATACTACATACATATAAGGGCACTAGAATGTAAAGCTTTTGCACTACATATTTCATATTTTGTTTACTGTTTACAATAATTTACAATTTATCATAAGGGAAGCTTAAATGTGAGGCTTCGTTTACAATTAAATTAGAAGTCAGACGAAAGCTCAAGTCGCTTTGGGTAATAAAAATGTGAGATTTATATTAAGAATTGAGAATATAAGAATATTATTGAAAGAAAACAAAATTGATAAAAATAAACTTTTTACATTGAGCCTAAATACTTACTTTTTTACTTTTCAAATAAATTAAAAATATACAACTGAAATAGAAACTTGTGTTTTACACTGTTTTATATTTAAGTATTTTAAGTTTATATTTATTATTTTTTTATGATTATAAAAAATGTATTTGTGAATATAAAATCATAAATTGCATTATATTTTTTTGAGTGCAAGTGATAAGAAAATTGCCATTTATGAGCAAAATACATTTTTCGGCATCTTATTGTTTAGTTTTAATTCTACTCTCGTTGTTCATTGATCGTCGTTTGCGTCATGGATTGGAACACAATTTTAGAACTTTTCAATCCCTTGGAAATCAACCTCTTTCTGTTGATACCTTTTGGAGTTGCGGTTTCGCTGGTGTCGCTATGCTTTTGCTATCACTGCCATCAGTGTGTTCGCGATCGTCGAAGGGCTCGGATCGAAAAGCGGGTACTTCCGCTGCCTCTTACTCGATTATCGATCACTCCGATTTCGATAGTGGACAGCACCAAGTTAATTCACAGCCGCAACAGCTCGGAATACTACTAAAAAAGTTTGTGGCCTTTTAAGTTTATCAATTATAAACTATTATCGTGAATTGTATAGTGAAGTAAAAGAGATTTATCTTTTAGCCAGTGCCATACGATGACTGATGCCCAAATATATCTCTCCTATTTTATATGCGGACCAGTGTTCGCGGTAATGTTGTTTGTGTATTTCTACTACTGCTATCTGAATGTCCGCGAGTGTCAAAGATCGCGAGGGAGGGAGTTTACAACCCCTTCACTCGACGATAACTCGGAGGAAAGAGTCCAAGTCTATTGACAAAGCGCTTAAGGCTCAGCTAAATAGTATAGTGAATCATTGCACGGAAAGAAATAGTACTTAATAAGTTTATGTAAGAATATACACTTCAAGTTATTGGTATAATTAAACTCACATCATTTGAAAAGAACATTTTGTAATCTGCCTAAAAGTTTAAACTTATTTAAGTTTGTATAAATAAGTGGATATATTTGGATATGCAGTTTGTTTTTTATAATCAAGGCGAGCTTTCATATCTTTTTATTATATATAGGTACATATAGCTTTTTGCATTCAAGCTATATTTTTTTAAACAATAAAAAAATTTGCTTTTTGACCAAAAACTGTTAAAATTGATATATATAGAACAGTAAAGTGTTATAAATAAAATAATTTAAACAAATAAAATCCCTATACGGTTTATTACTATCCGCATTTATTAAAAACTTTATACACTTTTTATGTGGGACTGTAAAACTGCTAGTCATTCCCTTTGTTTACAAAATCTGTTATGAATCATTTATTCTGTATCTCAATACCACCGTTTTTATTTGTCTTCTTGATCGCTTCCACGGAAAATGTTGGGTGTTATGTGTCCCCTGGCCCACTAATAAAATACTTGATGAGTTCACGGCAAGTACGAAGTACCTTTAAATACAGCTTAAGGCAAGAACGTGATGTGTGTGGATGTGTGTGTTTTTGGTTAAGAGTATCCGGCTGTTGTGCTCCTGCTGGTTGCTTACGACGGGCCATAAATTTAGCCAAAAACTTGGCTATGCATCTTCGCTGACGTTTCCTTTCACGACCTGCAAAATTTAGAGCTGCACGGCGGTTTTGATGGCCCTCAGTGGCAGGACGAGATGCGCTAATAAATGACAATTTCATTCGCTTTCGGGCCAAGAAGTTGTCCCACGTAATAAGAAAAATAAAACTAACTGAATTGAGACGGCAAATAACTGAAATTTTTACTTAAGAAAGCTGCAATTTTGCGATAGTTCAAAAAGCTCAAAATATGAGGATTAATATTGATAACTAATTGGCATTGAAAATTATTTTTTCTGTGTATGAAAAGGAAATAAGAAAATTAAATTCATAAATTGTAAACGTGACATTGAGCTCCAAAGATTCTTGCTTTTGTATACTCAGCAAAAAATGTAACACACTGTATACAAATTATTTGTTCCTACTCGTCAACTATAATTTGCAGCGTAAGTTATTTTGCTAAGGCAAATTATTCTGAACTAAAAATGGTTTTATTTTTACTTTTTTGTCATACTCCTCCAAAGCTAGAATAGCAAATGCAAATCCAATTGAATTAGTCAACTTTATTTGCTCATCATTTTGGGTAACTTTTAAGCGACAGATAGCCATGCATATATATTCTTTATTATGGGACCCATTCAGCCAATGACTACCACTGCTGCTGACTCCCTTCTAGCCAAATTGAAACGCTAAAATAATTTACGGCTCAACTGACCAGCTTCGGTTGCTCCTTCGGTTGCAGCAGCAGTGTCCTGCCATCTCCTTGATGGCTGGCACGTTAAATGCCATCGAAATGCTCCCAGTTGGAAAATTAGTTTAAAAATACGTTCGTACGGCAAAGGATGTCTTGCATCCTGTGGCTGTCGCTCATCTCATACCCTAGTAACTGGTATTACAATTTGCTCAAAGAAGTTGGTAAACTTTTACAAATTGATAAATTTATTATTACCATAACCAGAAAACTGTAATCTTTAACTTATTTCAGCTTGACGCCCTTTGTTTTGCATAGTAAAAAAAACCTTTAAAAATACTTCAAAGCATTTTACTGATTATAAAAGTTTATAACTGAAATGTGAAAATAATCCTATTCCAAGAGTATTTCGAATGTCTGGAAAACCCTTTCTCTTTTTTTGTGTTTTTGTGCAGAAGCACGCGACTTGCGTTCATGGTGGCGTAAAAATTCACTTAGTTCAACTTCACGCCCACCCTCCTTATTTTAGCCAAGTTATCCGGAGAGAAGCGACAGAAAAAAAAACAAGGAGCAAGAAAATTCGGAAGACTTCTGCCCAATAAAATGCTCATGTTTTACAATTTTATTAGGTGACGCGAGCTCATCAAATATTTAAATAAAACGATACATTTGCCGCTCCTTTTTCATTGTTCGCTGCGTTTAAGTAATTGGGTTTTTAGTGGACAGACATACACGTGTTTTACATTGAGAGAGGGGGTCCTTAAATCATTCCCTGTTTATCTGGCGACCATAAATAAAGGCATTAGCCGTCGTCCTTCCTTCGAATTGCATCGAACTGTTTGCATTGCGACCGTGCCACTTGGCCGTGCAGCTGCTGCCGCCAAATGTGGGATTTACACTGCGGCCGGGGTTAACCGCAATCGAAGTCGTCTCCTTAAAGAGATAAAGGGGCTCCGATCTGCATCCCCCCTCCTCCGACCTGCTCATTAATCGTCCAAAAGAGGTGTGGGTGGGTGCCAAAGGATTTGGGCCAGGCACCCAAAAATTAAAACAACCTTTAAGGAAGTTCTCGTTTACCATGAGTTGTTTTTAAATTTTGTTTATTGTTTAAAACAGATGAAATAAAATAATTACAAAATAATGAACAAATTTTTAAACTAAATTTACATATACGTAGTACTTAATTTAACGGTAAGTACTTTTTAATTTTTAGAAATTTTATTAATAATTTATATCCAAAAAAGTAACTAAGAAGTACATTTATGTAAAGATGGTTTATTCTCAGTGCACTTTTATTGGCATTGTTTGATTTAAATCCCGAGCGAAGTACTTTTGCGCTTGGAACTTTTAAGGATTGGACCAATCGACGATTAGGCGGCGGAGACACTCCTCGGGAAAATGTTTTGGCTGCCCAAAGAAACGGTTCTCGTCCCGAAAACCATCCAACCCACCGCCTTGTCGCACTTTGTTTGCTAATGAGCCAATTTAGTTGCATTGAACGCAATTGCATCGGTTTGGTGTGTGTGTGTCTGTGTGTGTGGGTGTGTGTCTTTGAGTGTGTGTGCGTTTGGTCTGGGCACCGATACTTGAAACTTGGCCAATACGTTTGGGCCAACTGACGTTCTGAGGCGGAGGCGCATTGCTTTGAAATGTTAAGTGGATGTGCTGCCATGAGAAAATGGCTGCTTTATCAGTAATGGGTACTAAACTTGGTTGTGCTACCTTAATATCAACCTAAAGGCTTTAAAGCAGAAGTAAATGCCATCTGATTGATAAGCTTTAATAACTAATACGATAAATACGAATTAATTTGACTGAAAATAGATTAGCTCATTAGTGTGTGTACTGAAAGGATTGTAATATTTATTTACCATAATTACAGTTTAAAATTACATAACAACGATATAGTTTGAACCTAGAACTTCTTGTGCATAATGGACATCAGGTATTTGCGACAGGCGTCCATCGAGTGGCGATTCAGGTAACATATCTGGCTGAAATACTTGCCGCACTGTCCACACTGGTGCTCCCAATCGTGATGTCCCATTGTGCGCTGATGAGTGCAAAGATTGGAGCTGCAAGTAATTACCGAATTTAAACTTCTAAAGATTAGATGAATAAAATAACAAGAATCTACAATCCCAATATAATAGATCTTATCGAGATCTTGATGTTGATGAGCCTGGTCAAGCATGTATTTAACTTATGGAGTAGCAAGTGCTTCGTTCTTTACTTACATTTAACAAGTTAAGGGTATACCAATTGTAAAAGTATTTCAAAACAACATTTATAAATTTTTTATTTTTTTTTTAAGTTTAGAGGTACTCACCGGTCGGCAAAGGACTTCCGGCAACTCCTTTCCGGACAAACGAAAGGTCTTTCGCCTGTGTGAGTCCTTATGTGGGCAATGAGCATCCAGGAGTGATCGAACTTCTTGACACACTTATTGCATTCAAACTGCTCGCCTAGTTTTCTAAAACGCCTTTTTACTGCGTGCTTTTTTACTTGCGGTGGCGGTTCCACAATAATTGGTGGTATAGACACTTTGGTTAAAAGTATTCTTGTAGTAATCAATTTCGACCGAGCTTTATTATCCTTGCCGCAATTACTGTTTGCAGGTTCGAGCAAGACCGTAATGATACCAATTCGAGCACCCTTTTTGGTTTTGGGCAACGAATCAATATCTTGACCAGGCATTATCAGTTCCCAGATGGTATGACTGACCAAGTTAAGCTCTGAACTCGGTTGATGAGCCATCAGTTGAATGCCCAACCGCTCCTCCATTTCCCTTCTGACCACAATTGATACTTCATTACCGTATCGCCAATCACTGCTGGGTTCCTCAACACCATAATGATATGTAAACTTTGAGTTGGTTTTAGGTTCAGCTCTTGCTATAGTCCTTGTGTTGTTATTAGTTTTTGGTCGTGGCATCGGTGGCAAGTTGGGTATGGCCCGAAAAAACGCTGAGTCATCAAAATTTTATCATTTAAAAGGTTAAGTTTAAGAATTAAAGCCTTTTCTTACCTTCATAGCGTTCGTAGAAGCGCTCCTGCTTGCCATTATAGCGATCCGATAAAAAGCTGCGGAAAATGTTCGGCATGATTTCTGAATTCACCTTACTACTGAGCTGTCGGAAAATTTCCTTGATTTTGCAGGCTCTGAAAAGTCAGTCAGTCAGCTACAGACTGGGTTGCTTTGACTTCGATTGTAGCTGCCTAATTGATTGGAAATTACACTTTAAGGAGCCTACAACACTTAGAAAAAACAAATAGTGTTGTAAAATAAGCTTTAAGTTTGGTTATATTTTAGATTTGATTAAAACATTCTATGCTTAATGGAAAAAATTAAAAAAAAAAGTTAAATTCAAGTGTCCTGCAAACTTGTGTGTACACATCGATTTCAATCGCCTTGTAAGACAAATTTAAGCCAATGGTTTTGACCAGCATCGGCGAAGTAAAGATCCAACTTTAAAGAACCTGGCCATCAGTCAATGCCTTCATCGGAAAACTCAAGACGGAGCACTTAAACAATTTTCTTGTTAAAATTTTTGCACACGAATTCGAGAGTCCACTTAAGAAAAGAAAGAGAGAGAGAGAAAGGTTGATGGAGCTGAATAGAGATGGGGCTAGTAGCCAGGCAATAAACAAGGCACGAATGTGTTGTGCAATAAAATTAGTTGGCTTGGCTGTGTGTACGTTCGTGTGTGTGTGCGAGTGTGTATGTGTGTGTGTTTGCTTAAGACATGCAAAGACGTTTTGCAATTTGCCTGTAATCCTGTTGTGCCAAAAGCAACCGTAACCACCCACTGAACCACTGAACCACCCAGCCACCCAACAACCCAACCGACCCACAGCCTTGGACTCGCTTTAAGGACTGTGCCGTTGCAGCTCCTTCGGTAAGCACTTAAGTCCCAGCTCTATTGTGGCAAACTTTTCAATTGTTCGGCAGTTCGCTGCGCTTATTTATTTGCATTTTTTATTTGCCGTTTTTGAGTGTGTTTTGTAATAAAAGACGGAAGAGAGAAAACATTTATGGCACCACCCATACTCCACCAAGGATTCCCCATCCCCTTTCGCCTTTCTCCTTCCGATTCCGATTTCGACAACGACTTGTTCCAACAGCTTTATTGCATTTATTTGGCACTTTATTACCGCCAGCTCGTTGTTCGGCTGTTAAATGGCCAAAAGGACCACAAAATATTGGGCCAGCAAATTACTTGGGTCATTTTGAAGTGCATCAATCTCGAGTACGGTGCGTTTCAGGGCCGTAGTTCAGTTTTGTCGTTACTTGAACAAATCAATTGGATAAATAAATAAATAAAACCAAAATATACAGATAAGAGAAAGATGAGTTGGTTGCATGATTACTTAATACATTTTAATTAGTACCTTAATATGTATCCAAAAACTTGAATAAAATTCATTCCGTGCAATTTGCCTCATCATTTTTCATAACTCATGAAACGCACTGCATAAATCGGCAAGAATAAGGGAGGCAACCATCAAAAGAAAATTGTTTCCAGCTAAACATTAATTCGTTTCGACAACAGCAAATTTGCTGTTCATTTCTCTGTCTTCATAAATAGTTCATATCTGTGGACCGAACAAATGACATTTTTCATAAACTTATATTTGCAGTGGCAAATGTGGGAGGAATGTGGGAGGGGTGCTGATGTATCTTCGTGTTTTGCTCCAACGACAAAATCGCATAAATGCTTTCGACTGCCAAACAAAAGCCTGACATAAAGCAGGACTCCAATGCCATTTAAAAAGGAGTGCAGTCCTTCCTCTCGGCTTTTGTTTGTGTGTGTCAGTTGGACTATTAAAAATCTATTTCAAGTACACAAGCATCGAAATTGCGTTTGTATCTCTGCCTGTAGAGTTCTCTATGCCAGTTGGATAGAGTTTTATTGCATACTCTTGGGCAGTCACTAAAGCCAGTAATATGTACGTTCCACTCTCTGTCGAGCTGTCGAATTAAATATGCACGTACGACAAATGAGATTTTCCTATTTTTCCTTGCCTTTCCCGTTTTATTATTCATTTTTATTTTTTCCGCTGTTTTATTTGCTGCTGAATAAGCTGGAGATGTCAACAATGATTCGCAAATGAGGAGTTGGAAGTGCCTTATTATGAAAGGAATATGTTGTATATGCTGGGCATATTTTTTCAGGCTCTATTTAAAAAAAAGAATTAACTTTGTAACATAGAATCTCTGAAAGTGGTTGACTTCAAATCCCTAGTTTTGGCGCAGCCACGTCGAAGTCATCAAGATTTGAATTGGTTCTTATACTTTAAGCGAAGGCACGTAAAAGTGACTTGCCTTTTATTGGAGGCCTCCCCGAAGGCCGATGATGCCACAGATTGCATTGCAAATTTTGTCATCAACATATAAATGAAGCGTCACAGCTGGCTGTCAAACCTTGGCATCCTTGGAAGCCGGAAAACGAGTCACGGCAGGATTTGGACTCCTTTGTGTAAGGACGCAAATCAAATGAATCACATATCTCACTATTTTCTTCAATTTAAAATGTAATTATTTTTGTTTTGTATTTGGATATAAGAATATGGATTTCAGTTGACATTTGCATTTGACCCGAGTTTTTTTCTTGAGAAAAGATGTCATAAATAAATGCTGTGATGAATTTAGTAAAAACATTTCTGTTATCATCTAATATGCAACAAATCCTAGGTAAATAAAAATTCATAATTTAATCAAATACTCGTTTTTGAAGCTGCCCCAAAATCGCCTTCAGGCGTTTGGCAATTAAACTTTCATGCCGCAAAGTGTGTGCAGCTGAAAAAAGTGTCAAATCCCGCTCTACTTGTCGGGTTATTTACTAAAGAAAAACACAATTGTTTGCAGCATTTGCGGTCTGACCAATGTCACAGTGCCACACCATCCTTACCATCCTTTCCATCCTGTTCATCCTTTCTATTTAATTGTATTCCCTAGCCCACCTAAGGCTAGAGCATAAACAAACTGCGACATAGGCAAATAGGACTTTATTTCCGTGTGTTTGGGAAAATTTGTTAATTTGTGCAAAAGTTTTGCATAGCATTTGGCTAGTCCGGTCTACGTGTCCGGCATAACAATGCAAAAAGAATGGATTGTGGGAATCGTTAGGTAGGCAGTTGAACCAGATTGGTAAGGGGACCTGTTGGAACTGTCGTCAGTCCAACGATCCCGAAATGGTTCCCGATGAGCCAAAAAAGAAGGCGCAGTTGATTTTGTACCTTAGTTCTTACCCTGTTTTAAAAATCATGAATATTGGGTTAAGTTTTGGGATTTTTCGAACTAATTAAATTGTACACAATTTCATTTTATTGATTTATGTTCTCTGTTAGTCAGTGAAATCAAGTAATTATTATTGTCCCAGTTTGAACTTTCTGTTGATATATTTTAAAAATCTATATCATCAAATTTTTTAATTTGTGCACCCTTATATTTAAATCCCTCTAAATTACCACTGTAATTCCGTTAAAATTGATTAGAGGAACATCCGTTCACCAGCATCGACCGACAGATGCTTGCTACTTGTGTAGTTTATAAATTAAATTTAAGCTGCAAACAAGCAAATTTGCCAAACACGTATCTTCGTTATGGGTCTATTACTTGGCCAAAAGTGTGGCCAAGTGCCGAGGCGGCAAATTTGTGCAACGGAATAGTGCCCATAAATAAAATATGGCATTCGACCAATGAAACCACCAACTGGACGACTGGACTCGCTATCTCTGTGGTCAGGGCATGAAAATGGCGTAGAGCTCGTAGATTTTTGCTAGCCATTGTCACATGACAAATGCTTGTTGCTCCTGTTCTCGGACTCCTTTCGCAATTGTTATTTTTGTTGGCATTGTATGTACTTTCGGCCATTCAACGATCCATTTGTATGCTGCCCGTGTTTGTTGGCCATGGCGATAAGTCATAGCTGGCACGTACCAAATTTATTTGTTCAAGTTTGTTTGCTTAGCTCGTCGGCAGCAGCTGCGAACCTGTGGCCAAGTATATATGCCGACTGCTTCGGGCAATTGCATTAATCGCTTCATAATTTACACAGCAATAATAATGTTTACCAATGGCAAATAAATATTTATTGAATTAACCAGAAAAACTTTACCAAAAACACACTGCTTGTCGCATTGTTTGTAAATTATGTTTTACAAATGGCTGCAAAACAAACTATGAATGCGATTACACAGACTTATAACGAAAGCGCAATAATTAGTATGAATTTTATTTAATCCGAATTAACGAAAGAGCTTATATAATTGGCTTAACTTAAGAATTGCTTTATGGCTCCATCGAACTGGAACAAACTTTGTTTCTGCACATTTTTCTGCTCGTTTTAATTGCAAGGGTATTTAACCTTCGCCTTCATAAAGCTAGCATCCTTTCTTGTTATCCTTCCATCTTATATCTCCTGAATGTATTTCACTGAAAAACAGTTAATTTCAAAGTTAGTTTGTGCATAAAAAATCCCAGCATGCGTTTGATTGTGGATGTGGTTGTTTATTGCATTGCCCACAGTAAAGAAAACATGCGCCGTGTATGCAAATTTAATTTGCACAGCCACACACAGAAAAAGAGCGCACACACACAAACACATACGCACACACTTGCAGAGCCTAGGTCACAGTCACATTCGTAGCATACTTTTCAGCGCTGCAGGGCATTAAAAAATGGACTCTGCCCGTACTTCACAATTATTTATATGAAAATAATCACACATGCAAATTAATAATTTCATTTCGCTTTGCAGCCGTAGCTTTTTAAGGGGCAAAATGCAACTCGTTCCATTGTGCCGACTGAAAAAACAAACTTACGGCACCCAAATCAAAAATTTAGACTATAAATAAAACTATATGAGTAAAACGAAGGCCAAAACCCCGGGGTTTTTTCCACCAACCGGGAGAATGGGAAGGCATATATAACAATATATAGATTCTGTTTGGGCAAATCTGTTGCGCATTTGTTTTTGCTTATCGGAGCGAATAATTTATGGGCTGGCATAAAAATCCGAATTTCATTCGGGGCTTAGTGGCTGGACGATTGTCGGGCGATTTATCAATTTGCCACTTTAAAGCTGTTTGGCCGGCATTTATTTTGTTTGCATTGTAGTTTTTAAATAGCAATAATAACTGTTAATTTACATGCCGCAAGTGT